GGTGATCAACATGCTAGTAGTTTCCTGTAAGAAATTCTTACAGATGTGCAACTGCACAGAGCTAGTTCCTTTAATCAGTTTAACTGGTTATGGTCTATGTAATGAAAATCACATTTATTCCTAATTAATTGATTATTTTATCCAGGTTTTTTTTCTCTGTTTATTTGAGATGCTTTATTTCTAGTGTAGAAAGGGTTTAGGGTTATTAATTTTCCTGTTGATAGAGTTTCCTATTGGTACAATTTTGATATCCAGGATTTTGCAATTTAGGGGGAAGTTTTTAATTTATAAAGTTTTGTTTTTGCCATTTTTATTATTATTCAGTTTTAGTGTAGTGATCTAGGATGTTGTTAGCATTACTTAACTTTTTAGAATTTGACATTTTCTTTATTGCCTGACACACACTCCATTTTCATGAATAGTCCATGGATACGTATAAAATGTTTTGATCCGCTTATGTTGGCCCACTTTTCATCTGGTGGACATTTTGTTACTGAGGATGTTTTGAACACATACCTGTAAGTGAGAATTATACTAACAATGATGAGTTTCCATCAGAAAGTATTTTCTACCAGAATTCCATTAAGCCAGTTGCAGTGAACCACATCAATAACTCAGCCCCTGGTTTGGGAGGCAGGGGGCAAGGCTTCTAGAAGCTGTAAATGGAGAACCTGAGAGAGCACTTAGGCCTGTAGTAAAAGACAAAACCCTATGGCGGCCATCCGGATTCAAGTCCTTTGTTGGACAGAGTACCTAGTTTTGGTTCCTAGCCTGAGGAGTTAACAGAATGTAAATTGGTAGCTGGCTGATGTTTTACTGAAATCTTATTTCCAGAAGAAAGAAAAAAATTTAATAAACAAAGGCCTGTAATCCTAAGAATTTCCCCAAACTACACCAATAAGAATGGGACCTGTGACAGTAGTAGTATTAGACTCTGGTTTTAAGATACATTTCTCTGATGACTTGTGAGGTTGGGCACCTGTTTATGTGTTTGTTAGCGATTTGAATATCCTCTTTTGGAAAGTGTCTGTTCAAGTCTCTTGCTAATTTTTCAATTTGGTTTTCTGTCTTTTCTTAGTGATTTGTAGGAGCTCTTTAAATATTCTAGATGTAAGCCCTTTGTCAGACATATACGTATTGTAAATATCTTTGCACTTTGTTGTTAGGTTCCATCGAGTCGGTTCCAACTCACAGTGACCCTACGTACAACAGAACAAAACACTGCCCGGTCTTGCGCCATCCTCACAGTTGTCGCTGTCTTTGAGCCTATTGTAGCCACTATGTCAGTCCATCCCATTGAGGGTCTTCCTCTTTTTCGACGACCCCCTGCTTTACCAAGCATGATGTCCTTCTCCAGGGACTGGTCCCGCGTAATAACATGTCCAAAGTATGTGAGATGAAGTGTCTCCGTCCTTGCTTCTAAGGAGCATGCTAGCTGTACTTCTTCCAAGACAGATTTGTTCATTCTTCTGGCAGTCCTTGATATATTCAATATTTTTCGTCAACACAATAATTCAAAGGCATCAGTTCTTCTTCAGTCTTTCTTATTCATTGTCCAGCTTTTGCATGCATATGAGGCAATTGAAAATATCATAGCTTGAGTCAGGTGCACTTTAGTCCTCAAAGTGACACTCTGAATTGTGTTTTCTCTCTTATTGGTATATTTTGTGGAAGAGAAGTTGTTCATTTTAATGTAACTTATCAGTTTTCTTTTCTTTTTGTTTAGTGGTTGGGGTCGTGTTAAGAAATCGTTGCCTACTTTAAGGTCATGAATTTGTTTTCCTATTTTTTTCCTAAAAGCTTCATTGTTTTGTCTTTCACATTTAGAACAGCAATCCATCTGCAATTGGTATTTTTGTATATGGTATGAGGAAGGGGTCAATACGTATTGTTTCCCACATAGATATCCGAGTGACCCAGCACCATTTATGGAAAAAGCCTTGCTTCCCTATGTACTGCAGTGTTAACTTTGTTGTAAGCAGTGACCATGTATAGACTTTTATTCTGCTTCATTGGTCAGTTTGTCTATCTATAAGTGCACCTCTTTGGTTCCCACTATTTTTGCCCTTGTAAAATAATGTTTTCTTTTGTATGTATTACTTTCCCTTACTAGGCTTATTTTCCACTACTGAGTTCCATGAACCTGATTTTAAAAAATTGGTTTAAAGATAGAAAGATAGAAAACTTCCAATTTAAAAAAAAATCAGGTTAGCATGAAGGTAAAGTTCATTACTGATTGATCTTTTTATGATAGCATTTTGCACCAAACCAAGTGTCTTCAATATATAATAGTTTAGTTAACAGATTGTTCTCCATTACAAGCTTCTAAAAAAAAAAAAAGGACCATTCCATCTATGTTGTCATCAATTTAAAAAGTTGCAGTATGAAAGCCTGCATTTACTCTTATTTTTTTCCTGCCCCATTTCACTGAACCATAACTGTGGTTGGAGAAAACCATGTATTTTCATTGTCTCTATCTTTTATTTTTTATCTGTGTTGGGCTAGTAATTTGCCAAAATAATTCCTTATCAAGATGGTAAGAGTTAAGGTTGGCAAGTTCATAACACAAACTTTAAAGAAATAAATATTGGATGTTTTGGTAGATGGCTTGTTCCCAGTTCTTCACTCCTTTCTTGTATTAGGTTTATACGTCTGTACCCTTTGCTGTGCGATTTTGCAGCTCCTCCCACTAAGGTAGACAGCTTATTTCCCTGTTGCATTGATGTTGGGCTCGGCTGTGTGATCTGCTTTGGCCAGTAGAATGGTTAGCACGTGTTGCATGAGCAGCTTAAGCATACTTGTGTGCTTTGGCTTGGCCTCTTGCCATCAGGAGAACATGCCCCAGCCAGCCACTGGTCCGGGGAGGATGCCGGGACACATGGACATGTAGCCGGCCTGAAGCCCAGCTACTCCCAGGAGCCCAGCAGACCGCACCTTGCCTACAGACTTGTGAACAGGAACTGAATGCTTATAGTCGCAGGCCAGTGAGTTATGGTGTTGTTTGTCATGCGAGATTATCTGACTCATATAAATGTGTCATTGCATTCACTCTTTTTTTATTTTATTGTGGTGAGAATATACATAACCAAACATGCCATCTCAACAATTTCTGTACGTACAATTCATAACGATCACATTCTTCATGTTGTGCAGCCGTTCTCGCTGTCTTTCCAAATCATTCCACAACCATGAGCATAAACTCAGTGCCCCCTCAGCAAACACTCCTCCTTCCCCTACTCCCTCCCACCCTAGGTAACCACTAATAATGTTTGGTTTCTATACATTTGCTTATTTCATATAAGTGAGATCATACAATATTTATCCTTTCGCGACTGACTTATTTTACTCAGCCTGATGTTTTCAAGGTTCCTCCCTGTTGTGCCATGCATCAGGACTTCATTTCTCTTTATGATTGAGTAGTATTCCATTGTGTGTGTATACCACGTTTTGTTTATCCGTTCATCTGTTGAGGGACATTTTGGTGGTTTGCACCTTTTGTTGTTGTGAAAAGTGCTGCCAGGAACATTAGTGAACAGGGTTCTGTTAGCTGCATTCACTCTTGAAGATGCTACTTCCAATGCCCCTGTGTTCCTGACGGACAGGCAGTGTTAAGGAAGTAGCGTGGTAGAAGGCACAACAGAGACAAGAATACTTACAGAATAAGAACTCTCTAGGGATAGATGTTGAATTTCCCCGTGTTTGTATGAGCCCTAATGTGCAAGGTCAGGGTAACTTTCACCTGGGGAAAAGTTATACATTCTTCTTTCCCTACTGGAAAGGTGTTTTTCTGCAAATAAAAACCTCATTGTAGTAGTGCCTAAAAGTTGATGCATATATTATACTTGGGAAGCCAAAAAAAGTGAAAAGAAAAGAAATTTTCTGTTATCTAAAGTATTTTTCTTCTTTTCTCACAGTCATTTATGTTCCAACCATCTCCCTAAAACAACTGCAGACCTTATCGCTCATTCATTCATTCATTCAGTATTTACTGAGTGCCTGTCCTGTGCTAGGCTCTGCACATACCTAGGAACTGCTCTCGTGTCTAGAGATACAGTGGTGAAGAAAACAGACACAATTCCCAGGCTTCATGGAGCCTACATTTTAGTGGGGAAGTCAGATTGTAAATAAGATAAATAGTATACTAGATAGTTAAAAAATGCTAAGAAGAAAAAGCAAGAAGTGGTATTACAAAATATGTTGTTGGGTGCTGTCAAGTCGATTCTGACTCATAGAGACCCCACGTGACAGAGTAGAACTGCCCCGTAGGGTTTTCTAGGTGGTAAACTTTACGGAAGCAGATCACCAAGTGTTTTCTCCTTCGGAGCTGCTGGGTGGGTTCAAACTGCCAACCTTTCAGTTAGCAGCTGAGTGCTTAACTATTTGTGCCACCAGGGCTCTTTGGTGATAAGAGCAAGGGGTGATGAAAAGGGGTTGAATTCTGGGTATATTTTGAAGGTAGAGCCTTCTAAAGGATTTGCTGACAAACCGGATGTAAGATGTGAAAGAGAGAGGAGTCAACAATAGCCCTGTATATCTCAAAGAATGGAATGGCCACGAACTGAGGAAGACTGTAGAGAGACCTGTTTTAAAAGGATATGGGTAGCTCAGTCTTGGACAGAAGAAGTTTGAGATTATCTGTTTGACACGTAGAGATGTCAAACAGGCAATTGGATATTGGGGTCTAGATTTCCAGGCAAGGCCCAGGCTAGGGATATACATTTAGAAGCCATCAGCATGTAGCTGGATTTAAACCCAGGAGACAGAGTGTGTAGGTAGAGAAGAGGAGGGACCACAGGCCAAGCCCCTGGGCATTATGGGGAGGAGGAGGAACTAGTAAAAGAAACCGTGAAGGAACTGCTGGAAAGGCAGTAGGGAAATTAGTCCAGCACGATGTTCTGAAAGCCCAAGATGCAGAATAACTCTCGACCTCTTTGTAATACGAATGCCTTTTCCCCATTTGTTTCCTGGCCAGTGCTGTGGCGTCTTCTCCAGCCAGAAAAATGAAAGTGTTCAGGAACTTAAAACTTCTTCTCTGGAAGAATTTCCTCTTAAAGGTAGGTACATAACTGTGGAAAAAATGTAAGTCCTTGGGAGGGACTGAGGAGCCCTGGTGGTGCAGTGGTTAAGTGCTTGGCTGCTAACCGAAAGGTTGGTGATTCAAACCCCTCAGCTGCTCCTCAGGAGAAAGATGTGGCAGTCTGCTTCCTTAAAGATTTACAGCCCTGGAAACCCTGTGGGGCAGTTCTACTCTGTCCTGTACGGTCGCTGTGAGTCGGAATGTCTATGTTAAATTGGTTTCCAATAATGAGTTAAAGAAAAATTAGGAACTTTACTTGTAAATGGGCCCTTTTCTAGCAAACAAGCCATGGTTAACCGTAATTATTAAAAATGGCATCATTGGTACTGATTTCTCTCTACCGGTGTTACAGAAAAGCTAAAAGGAAATGTTTCTAGGCAGTTCTCTATTTTTTCTTTTTCATGCTTTGTGCAGGGAAGCTGGAAAAAGTAAGGGGTTCTTGCTGGAAGACTGTTCACCATAGAGAGATTTATACCTGTGTTCTGTTTCAGACTAACATATGGCTTTTGTTCTTTATTTTAGAAGCGGAAGCCTCTGATTACAGCTCTTGAAGTCTTGATGCCATTATTATTTTCTACAATTGTAATGTATCTTCGTTTCAATAGTTTGCCAAGAAAAAGACCTCCTTCCAACTACCAACCAATTGATATCAGCTCACTGCCAGGATTCTTCTATCATTATCCTGTGAAAAACAAATTTCAGCTAGTTTATATCCCTTCCAAAAGTGAAACTTTGAAGACTATCACAGAAATGGTGGAGAAAAGCTTTGATGTTGATTTTGAAGGTTAGACATTAAGATGGGATAAGGATAAGGGAGGCATTTTATAAAGTATCGCTTGAAGTTTTTCCTAAGAGTTCTTATGACAGCGATTCCAGTTCTGGGCTCTTCGGATACTAAAGAGGCGATAGAAGCCGCAGTTGAGGGGAAGTAGCCCGTGTGGGTTTTATCTTTCAGAAGACACGATGGAAACACGTGTATTTACGTTTCAAGGCTAATTAAAATTTAAATAGTTGTGTTTTTAACTCACTATAGTCAAACCAGTTACTCAAACTAATCAGAAGCTCTGATTGAGAGTTATTATATGTCTCTGACTAATAAGAAATGGAAAACTTTCAAAGATTCTGAAATAGCCTTCTAACTGTTCTCTCTGCTTCTCATTTCCCATTCCAATCCAGTCTCCAAGTGGAGGCAGAAAGATTGTCATTAAATGATTAATAGTGGCTTAGTCTCCTGCGTTACCCCCTTCAGTGGTTCCCGTTGCACTGATACTAAAGCAGGCCCTTCCCCAGTGCCCACGAAGTTCTTCAGGATCTGGCCCTACTTTGATCTCCAGTCTTATCTAGATTCACTTTTCTCCATGCTCCCACCTTACAGTTCCTACAGTTTGCTTCCTGCCTCAGGGCCTTTGCACAGGCTGCTCATGACAGAATGCTTTGCCCCTAGCAGTTCCCATGGGTTGCCCTTTCTTATCCTTCAGGTTTCAGCTGAAATGGCACCCTATTTCTCTCTGGGGGCCTGATCCCTCTCCCCGTCTCAGCCCATGTATTTCTGGTGGTGTTGACTCCACTCTGGACTGAAGATGGATCAAGTAACCTATGTCTAAGCCAGTCTACGCATTGCAGGCGCCCCCCTTGTGACAGTGATTTGTTTAGGGAGGGCACTTAACTCAGTCTGAGTCAATGAAACACAGCGAGATTTTTGCTGAGAACTTCCTGGAAAGAGATTATTGCTGTTTTACTTTGTAACATGGCAGGTAGGTTATTTGGATCCGCCCTCCTCTTGTAAACCAAATGCTGGATAAAATACTAAAAATATATTATTATTTTTTCTTTTTTTTATTATAGTTTAGATGAAGGTTTACAGAGCAGATTAGTTTCTCTTAAACAGTTAATACACGTATTGGTTCGTGACATTGTGTTTATGTCAACACTCTCCCCTCCTCGACCTTGGGTTCCCCATTACCCGCTTTCCTGTCCCCTCCTGCCTTCTCGTCCTTGCCCCGGGGCTGGGGTGCCCTTTTAGTCTCGTTTTGTTTTATGTGCCCGTCTAATCTCTGGCTGAAGGATGAACCTCAGGAGTGACTTCAGTACACCCATGGGGCCATACTCTTGGGGTTTCAGTAAGTTTGGTCTTTTTTTTTTTGTGAGTTAGAATTTTGTTCTACATTTTTCTCCAGCTCTGTCCAGGACCCTGTATTGTGATCCCTGTCAGAGCAGTTGGTGGTGGTAGCCGGGCACTATTTAGTTATCCTGGACTCAGTCTGGTGGAAGCTGTGGTAGTTATGGTCCATTAGTCCTTTGGGCTAATCTTTCTCTTGTGTCTTTGGTTTTCTTCATTCTCCCTTGCTCCAGATGGGGTGGGACCAGTGGAGTATCTTAGATGGCCGCTCCCAAGCTTTTGAGACCCCAAACGCTACTCACCAAAGTAGGATGTAGAACATTTTCTTTATAAACTATGTTATGCCAGTTGAGCTAGATGTCCCCTTAAAAATATATTCTTGGAAGCATTGAAGAATGAAAAAAATAGTAAGGATCTATGTAGACAAAAAATCTAGGGTAAAATATTTTATTATTTGTGATTGATTACTTGAGTGTTCATTTGATAAATATTTACTACACTGAAAATTTGTGTTTTATATGTCTTTGTGTTTGTATGTTATTTTTCACAACTTAACAATGCGTATATATTTAAAATGAAACCTAAATACTGTTAAGGAAACAAAGACCAAAAAACCACAAATAGGAAAAAAATGAAAAAAATTCACTCATAATCCTATCATCCAGATATAAGTGCTGTTTAATATCTTGTGTACATCCTTCCCTTTTTCTAACCATGTAATAAAAAAAAATAGGGTCATATTGTGTGAACTATTTTGTAGTCATATTTTTTATTTACTATATTGTAAACTTTAGGTTATTAGGTATTTTCCTAAATAAAAAATTCTAGGTGAAAGAAAGAAACCAAAGAGGTCAATGTAGGCCCTAAGCTTTTGATGAAACTTGCATCATATTAGGGGAAATCGAACTGTAGTTTTCATAGCCTTGTAAGGTATAGAGGTAAAGAAGACAAAGTCAAGGTCCATTCAAGGTAGAATGTCTAATAGGAAACTATCTCCCCATAAAACTGGGACCCCAAATGCCTATACCTTAGTGTAGGTAGAACTGAGAATAAACATGCCCCATCCCTACCCTTAAGGGACTTCATGGAATGTTGCCTTGGAACTGAGAAGAGCAGGGAGGGGGAGCCCATCCCTGAGATTTGCAGCTCAAATTCGTATCACCTGGTTGTCCAGAGAGAGAGAGAAAGAAAGAAAGAAAACCCTTCAAACTATGAAGTGAGTCTCGGACTGGCAGATGCAAATGTAATTTTCTCTGTAGGAACCTACCTTCATTCTATATCTTTGAGATATATATTGAATATTAAATACTAGAACCTACCTTCATTCTATATCTCAAAGAAAACTCACCAAAAATGTATCAAAGTCAATGAGCAGCACACAATCAAAAATAGTCAAACACAGTAGGAAACAAGACACCAAGAATGACAACCAGTATAAACAACAGACAGCAAAAACAGAACTGTAAACACCTCAGATAATAGAAATTATTAGTTTTACATTATAAAATCACTGTGTTTATTAGGTTTGAAGAAATAAAACAACCTAAAAGTATCTGTAGGTAGCGTGTCAGTATAAAGAGTCACCTAGCAGATCTGGAAAAAAAAAAAAGAAGAACCAAATAGAACTTCTAGAAATGAAAAATAAAATAACCACAATTTAGAACTTAGCTGAAGATAAAACTAGTGAACTGGAAGACAGATATAAAGAAGAGGTTTGGAATGTAATGCAGATAAAAATACAGACAATATAGGAGAGAGAGAGACATGGAGGATAAAATGAGAAGGACTAATATGTTTACTTCAAGTTCCAGGAGAAAGGAGAGAATGGTGTAGAGGCAATATTTGAAGATACACTTCTTAAGAATTTTTCAAAAGTGATGAAATTCATCCATTCACAGAAAAAAAAATAAGTCAATACCTAGATACATAGGGCTGAGCAAATAATCCGAGAAGCTGGACTATATGAAGACGAACAGGGCATCAGGATTGGAGAAAGACTCATTAACAACCTGCATTATGTAGTTGACGCAACCTTGCTTGCTGAAAGTGAAGAGGACTTGAAACACTTACTGATGAAGATCAAAGACCACAGCCTTCAGTATGGATTACACCTCAACATAAAGAAAACAAAAATCCTCACACCTGGACCAATAAGCAACATCACGATAAACAGAGAAAAGATTGAAGTTGTCAAGGATTTCATTTTACTTGGATCCACAATCAACACCCATGGAAGCATCAGCCAAGAAGTCAAAAGACACATTGCATTGGGCAAATGTACTGAAAAAGACCTCTTTAAAGTGTTGAAAAGCAAAGATGTCACTTTGAAGACTAAGGTGCGCCCAACCCAAGCCATGGAATTTTCAATAGCATCATATGCACGCAAAAGCTGGATAATGAATAAGGAAGACTGAAGAAGAATTGAGGCCTTTGAATTGTGGCGTTGGCAAAGAATATTGAATATACCGTGGACTGCCAAAAGAAAGAACAAATCTGTCTTGGAAGAAGTACAACCAGAGTGCTCCTGAAAAATAAGGATGGTGGAGACTACGTCTTACATACTTTGGACATGTTGTTAGGAGGGATCAGTCCCTGGAGAAGGACATCATGCTTGGTAAAGTAGAGGGCCATCGAAAAAGAGGAAAACCTTCAATGAGATGGATTGACACAGTGGCTGCAACAATGGGCTCAAGCATAAGAACAATTGTGAGTGTGGTGCAGGACCGGGCAGTGTTTTGTTCCGTGGTGTGTGGGGTCGCTATGGGTTGGAACCAACTCGACAGCACCTAACAACAACAATGACGACAGCTATATAGGAGTAAAACTGCAAAACATTAATGACAAAACGAAAATCTCAAAAGCCAACTAAGAAAGAAGACATAACTTTCAAAGGAGCAAAAGTTAAACTGATAGCTGAGTTTTTAAGAGCAATAGTGAATGCTGGAAGAGAATGGGTTAATATCTTCAGTGTGCAGAAAACAAATAATTGCCAATCTAGAATTCTATACCTAGGAAAATACGCTTCAAGAATAAGAACGATACCAGCACATTTTAAACAAACAAACGAAAAAGATTATTTACCATCAGTAGACTCTACTGAAAAAAATAGTAAAAGGTGTACTTCAGGCAGAAGAAAAGTGATCCCAGATGGAAGATCTAAGATGTAATAAGGAATGAAGAAAAAGGCAAAGGTAATATATGGATAAATCTAAACAAGTGTTGCATTATACTATAATAATAACGTCTTGTGGACTTAGAAAAAGAAAAGACGATTAAAATACATACCAACAATAATATATGTCAGTGAAGGGACAATCCTGGGGGTCACCACGTTTATTTCTCTTTTCTCAAAGGTCACAATCCTGTGCTGCTTACTGTCCGTTACCTGAAAAAGTCGATGCATTTTTGGGTCAAGTTTTATTGTTATTTACGGAAGAAGGGTAAACCAAGTCTCTGTTCCTCTATCATGGCCAGAAGTATAAGTCATAGATGATTTTTTAAAAAGAACAAAAGAAATGGGACAGAGATTGTGTCATGATGTAGGATTGAGGAGCCTGTGGTAGGTAAATGACTTCACCATTTAACCTTTGATAGCGTTAGAATTTCTTACCATGTGCATGCCTTATGTTTTCAATTGAAAAAAAACCTAGTTAATAAAACATTAGTATTCTCAGATTTGAGAAAATATTGCTGCTCCAAAACAAAACAGACTCTTATGAAAAGGAAACAAACAGAAAGGGGTCTTGAAAATGAAAAATGATTATTAAAATAACTTTCATGGAAATAATAGAATGGACATGCTTAAAGTCTGACAGGTGATCCAGAAGGTAGAGTCAAGGAAATCTCTGAGAATGTAAAGCAAAAGGAGAAAGAAATGGAAAATATGAGAGCAAAGTTAATAGGCATGAAGGCCAGATCTGGAAGTCTACCTTCATCTACCAGGAGTCCCAGGAGGAAGAAAAGCAGATGGCTAAGGGGAAGGAAAAAACCATCAAAAGAATTTCTAAAGGAACACTTGAAGCTTCAGATTCAAAGGGTTTCACTAGTTCCAAGCAGGAAAACAAAAATAAGGCAAACTGAGATACATGTTAGTGATGTTTCTGAACTTCGTGGGATAAAGAAATAGAAGTCCTAAAAGCTTTCAGAGAGGAAAACCAGGTTACCTACAGAGAAGCAGACATTGCACTCAGCAACACTGGATGCTAAATCGTGTAGTAACGCCTTCAGCATTCTGAGGAAGAATTACTTTCAAGGAGAATTTTATATCAGACTCTCAAGTTTGAGGACAATTAGGTGTGGAAATGATTTCTTTCATCAGAGCAGCTAATATTATTTTGTTTTCCATTTTGGATGGTGGTTAAGACCTTGAAGAGAAGGGTGATATGGAGTGATAGTAATTTCCTCGTAAACGTGGGTAAGCATTGGGTCCAGCCACCTGTATGTACCAAGTGCTGCCTAGCTAAGGAAAGCTGGACTACACAGAGGTTTCCAGAGCCTCAAAGAGATGTAGACCGTTATTATTTTACTTTGTATTCCCGTTATCCAGCATAGTTCTTAGCATCTTGTATGCTTGTGTGTTTGCAGAATGAATGAATGAATGAGTGAGTGAGTGAGGTTTGCCCTTCCTTAATTGAGAAGTAAACTGGCAATCTTCTTCGGCAGAGGGGGAGGAGGGGATTGAGCAACGCTGGCTTCAGCTAATCACTCAACTGACTGGATTTCTCTCTCTCTAGTTCGAGGCTATCATTCGGAGCCTGCATTTGAAAGTTATATAATTAACGATCCCAGTGCTTTCTACATACTGACTGGAATTGTTTTTGATCATAGCTTCAACGGCAGCAAGGATCCCCTGCCCCTCTCGGTAAGAACATTTGTTCCCTAACATCTCACAGCTCCGCAGCCTGACCTTGTAACCCACTCCTCGCTCCTCCGCTGGGATCTGCTTCCGCTGTCAGCTAGCTGCCATGCTGTTTGCAGAGGGGATGCAAGAATGCCGCCATGTCCAGGGCCCATTTTAGACTTTGAGTTCCCTTCCAGTTTTCTGATTCTTTAAGAGAGGAGACTTGCTCCAAGCAAGCCTCTGTCCTGAGCGTACAGGACTGCGTATGTTCAGTTGCTTGATTACAAAAGCCGAATGTTAGGAGTGCGGACTCCGACACCAGACGCCATAGGTTTGAATCCTGGGTCTGCAACTTACTAGCTGTGTGACCTTGGGAAAGTTAGTAGCGTTTCTGGGCCTCAGTTCCCTTTTCAGTGTGATTGGGTTCACATTGGTACTTAACTCCTAGAGTTGTTGCAAGGGTTAAATGAGTTTATGACTGTAAAGTGCTTAGAACAGGGCCCAGAACAGGGATTTTTCACAAGGATTAATTACTATTGCTGTCATTGTTGTTAATCTCGTGCGATGTCAGACGTGGTAGGTTTATTTGTTTTTTTAAGGGAGAGGCAGTGTTTTAAACATGGGATTATCTGGCTTCTGTTTTGGGATGGGAAAACCAGTGTAGTACCTTTGCTTTGTGCTGTACAGTCTAGGTAATGATCGATGGACTGTTAGAACTTGCACGGAATACTGGTAGGTGGTGCGAGAGGTAATAATAAAATAACCAACGTCTTTCAAGCACTGACTAAAGCCAGTCACATTGCAGGGACCCTCTCATTTAATCCTACAACAACCTGTGAGGGAAGTGCTGTTAATATCATCCCATTTTACTGATGAGGAAACTGAGGCAACAAAGGTTAAGTAACTTGCCTGAAGTGACATGGCTATTCAGTAGGAGAGTTTGGATTTGGATCCAGGAGGTCTGAGCCCTTCTGCAGCACTCCCTTCCAGAAGGTGGCAAAGCAGCCCACTGTCTTGAGTCCCTCCCGTGGGTACTGACGTGTGCTTCCTTGGGGGACATTTCCCAGGGTGGGCGCCTTTCCTCCAGGAGCTGACATGACCCTACCTTTGCTATGTCCTGCGCCTTTTCTGAGGTTCAGTATCTCCTGACAACATTTTTTTCTCTTTACTCTTCATAGGTCAGGTATTCCTTGCGTTTCAGCAGCATCATGAGGAATTTTTTATTCTTGAGGGTAGTAATCCCTCAAGATTATGCCGAAGGCTGGAGCACATCCTTTCTTTATCCTCCGAATCCAGGCGATGAGCCCCGGGAGCAGGCATTTAACGATGGGGGCAGTCCTGGTGAGGAGGCCGGCCGCTCCCGACAGTGGCATGTGTCTGTGGTGTGTTTGTGTCGGTTCTGCTCTCTGAACACTGGCTAAGCTAGCATTCCGGAAAAGGCTGAAGGAATCGCCTCTATAAATGTGGCCCACGGTAAAATCCTTACAACCCAGTGTCAGTTAAAGAGGCAGGCATGTGTGTGACTGCTTTGTAATGATGTTGCATAGTTTGAAGGAAGGGTCCAAGCATTTCATAGGAGCAATGAGTGAGTCCCTTCTTTATGTTTCTGTATTTATTAACTTTCTGTTGATAAAAATGTGTATGTGCAATTGAAGTGGCCTTAATTCTATGAGTTGCTAACACTCCTATAAAATGATCTCCACGCCACCTCTTCTCTATCTCAGGCCTTTGGCCTCCTGCCACCCTTTTCCCAGTGTCTCAATTAGCCGTTCTAACAGAAATAACACAAGTGGGTGACTCTAACCAACAGAAATTTATGTTCTCACCATTTAGGAGGTTCCTTGTTGTTGTTGTGTACCATGGAGTTGACTCTGACTCATAGTGATCCTACACAGCAGAGCAGAGCTGCCCCATAGGGTTTCCTAGGCTGTAATCTTTAGGGGAGCAGATCGCCAGGTCCTTTCTCCCTTGGAGCTGCTGGTGGGTTCCAACCACCGACCTTTCAGTTAGCAGCCGAGAGCTCGCTTAACCATTATGCCACCAGGGTTCCTTTATAGGAGGCTAGAAGCCTGAATTCAGGGCACTGGCTCTAGGGGAAGACTTTCCCTCTGTGTCTGCCCTGGGGGAAGATCCTTGTCTCTTTTCAGTGTCTGTTCCTTGGTTCCTCGGTGACCTTCATGTGGCATGGCATGTGTCTTCCACCATCTGTGCTTGCTTCTGTGCCTAATCTGCTCCACTCTTTTGTATCTCAGAAGTGATGATGGGTTTAAAACACGCCCTACACTGATACTGCCTCGTTAACATAGTAAAGAAACCTCTATTCTCAAACGGGGATTATATCCACGGGTATGAAAATAAAAAACCAAAACGATTGCCGTCAGGTCGATTTCGACTCGGCAACCTTCCAGGACAGAGTAGAACTGCCATAGGGTTTCCAAGGAGTGACTGGTGGATTCGAACTGCCAGCTTTTGGTTAGCAGCGGAGCTCTTAACCACTACACCACCAGGGCTCCCTCCACAGGTATAGGGGTTAGGATTTCAACACGTATTTTGTGGGAACACAGTTCAATCCCTAACACCCAGGGAACCTCTTGCCCCCTGAGCATGGCTCCCCATGATTGACAGTCTGGGGTGTATGCTGCAATCTAAACAGATTTATTTTTTAGCTTTTTATTGACACATGACCTGCGTACAGAAAAGTGTACCAGTCCTAAGCGTCCGGCTCTGTGAGTTTTCACAAACTGAACACATGCGGGTAACCAGCAGACAGATCCAGAAACAGAACATTACAGCGGCCCCCTCAGGCACTCCCCTCTCCAGGATAACCACTGTCCTGACTTCCAATCAAGAGTGAGATTGAAAAATGCCTCACAGGCCCCCAGGCCCTGCGCTCGCATCTGTCTGCGCACTGCCTCCCCATGGCTCCGGCTCGCGTGGCAAAGCCTCCCTGGGAAGGTCGTCCCCTGTTGATTTCCTCCGGGTTTAGCAGTTGAGAAGATTTTGTGGCACTGTGTAGTATTGGAACCCTGTACCCCACTTCTCTTTGTAAGGAAAAATTATTCCTCCTTGTGGAAACTTGCTTTGTCTTTCACTGTTCTTATTTTCCACAGCCCCAGCCCTGTCCTGGCTTGCTGGGGCAGAGGGTTTCCTGCTGTAGCAACAGCTTGTTGCTGCCTTCGATTCCACACATCATCCCCCGTTAGGTCCGTTCTGGTCCTTCACGGTCCCACCACAAGGAGCAGGGGAAGAGGAGAAGCTCCAACACAGAATGCCCATCTGTGATGTCCCCTGCTCGGGTCTCAGCCTCCTGCCAGGCCCCAGAGTCTCCCTGCATTTCTATTTCCTCGTTTGCAGACTCAGGGACTGACCGGGCCTGTTCTCTGCTCAGTCCCTGCCACTGCCTTTCTGGCCCTGGGGTTTCCCTGCCTTCTCCCCAGCTCCTCAGCCTTGGTACCCCCTGAAGATAAACGCCCAGGGTCTTTTCACTGTAAGGATTTTACTGCCAGTTATTTTTATGAGAAAGGAGCCCCGGTGGCACAGTGGTTAAAGTGATCGATGTGGCTCCACTGGAGAAAGATGTGGCGGTCTGCTTCCAGAAAGATGTGGCGGTCTGCTTCCATAGAGGTGTACAGCCTTGGAAACCCTGTGGGGTGGCTAGGAGTCAGAATCGACTGGATGGCAGTGGGGTTGGTTTTGGTATTCTGAGCATTGTGTGGGAATTTACCTTGATGGGGTTCCAGGAGGAACGCTCTCCCAGCGGCTCCAGAGTGCACTGCTCATATATCCTGCCCTCTCTGCCAGTTCAGAGGGCCCTTTGCCTCCCTGCTTGTTTTCCCCACAGCGGCCCTCGCTCCCCAGCGACACCGTGTTGACGTGAGGGTTGCTTGTGGGAAGGACTGCTTTTGAGGCGTGGACGACAGCCATAGTGACAGCTCAGACACAGATCACAGCAGCTCAGCCGGGTATAACCATCTCAGAGGTGCTGGATGGTCAAATGCAGAGCCAGCCTCCGCTCCTGGGGCTCGGTTTCTAGGGGAGAAGGGCGGCCCCACCTGGCAGAGGCTTGTACTGGACATCCCTCATTTTGTCCGTCCAGTTTCTGACGGGAGACTCCACCAGCCTCACCACGGTGCCTTCCACTTGGCGTTCTCCTCCTTCCGTACTGCCGCGGGCGCTGGGCCCGGCTTTCCTGCTGCTGTCTGGAAGGGTTAGGAGTGCCTCGCCACCACGATCGCCGGGCTCATCAATTGTTCGCACCTTCAAACCCGAAACTAAACCCTTTGCTGTTGACTTGATTCCTACTCATAGCTACCCTACAGTTTGCATCTCCAGTCTTTCCTAAGCGCCAGGGCTTGACAGCCGCTGTTTTCTCACGTAGGATACCACAAAGAAGGCTTCCTAGCCATCCAGCACACACTGGATAAAGCCATCATGTGGTACCATGTTAGAGATGAGATGACCCGGATGTTCGCTAACCTCAGCGTGCTGGTGAAGAGGTTCCCGCACGGGCCCTACATCCAGGACCACTTCTTCCCGGTCCTGCAGAACGAATTCCCACCGCTCCTCATGCTCAGCTTCATCTGCATCGAGCTCACCGTCATCAACTCCATTGCCCTGGAGAAAGAGAGGAAGCTGAAGGTAACGCCTGCTCCTTTGGCGGGCAGCCTCTCCTGGGGTAGGAAGGTTTGGAGGCTGCTAGTGAGAAACGCCCAGAGTGGGAAGGAGGTCCAGGAAGGTAAGCAGCTGCTTAGGCGTCAGAGTGGCCGGCCAGGTGAGTGGGAACCTGGAAATTCTTTGGTAATTTTAACCTGCTTGGAATTTAAAACCAGAAAAACCAAACCCATTGCCGTGAAGTCGATTCCGACTCCTAGCGACACTATAGGACAGAGCAGGACTGCCTGTAGGGCTTCCAGGGAGCGGCTGGTGGATTCAAACCGCCAACCTTTTGGTTAGCAGCCAGGCTTTTAACCACTGTGCCACCTGGAGGCACCAAAGTTGGCTTTGCTGCTTTTAGGCAGGGCGCGGCCTGCCCAGTGGCTACTGGTTGGCTAGTGCACTCTTGGCACACAGTAGGTGTTCAGAAAATGCTTTGGGGAATGACCAGTCGATAAACATATACTGGTCCCAGTTGCCGACGAGTTGACTCCGACCTATGGCGACCACATGTGTGTCAGAGTAGAGCTGTGCTCCATAGGGTCTCCAATGGCTGATTTTTTCCAAAGTAGATGGCCATTCCTTTCTTCTGAGGCACCTCAGGGTGGACTTGAACCTCTAACCTTTTGGTTAGGAGCCGAGCGTGTTAACTGTTGCACCAGCCAGGATCTGCAGCAACATTTAGGAGGCGAATAATCACCCCAAACGAACTGGCTCGTTGCTGTGAGGCAGACGGGAGCACACTCCTGGAAGAGGCAGCCGAAGCCAGGCTGACCGCTGAGCTGCTCCGCAGGTCACAGCCGTCCTCCGCTTTCTGCACGCCTCTGCTCGCTGGCTGCTCCCATTATTTCTCCAGCCTCGCTTTTTTGCTCTCTCTCTCTCTTTTTAAATCTTTTCTTCTCACTCTTTAATTTTTTTCTCCTTTTATTGTTTCTCATGACTACGTGTTAAAATAGCCTGCTAGGGACTCCCAGAGCCTTGCTTGGCCTCGCTTGCTTGACATCTAGGACGTAAGAGCAGATTGCTCTGGTCTGCTTTGCCTTCTTGTGTTTCCGCTTGGAAGGAAGGGACCTAACTGCTGCTGTCTTGTGAGGGGGGCTGGCAGTGGGAGGGTGCTGGCATGGCCGTGGGTGGCAGTGGGACTGTGGGCTGCCTGGGAGGCCTTCCACCTGGCTCTGTACCTACTGAAAACCCAGAGAAACTAGGCTCTTCTGGAGTGGCTGGTGGAATCCCCTCTTAGTCTCCAGGTGTGGAACCCTCTGCCTTCCCGGCACACTGGCCAAGGGAGGTGCTGGGCATCAGTGTTTCACCTAGACCATCAAACTGGTCACGTGCTGCTGCTTCCGTACTCGAGTCTGCTGTCTAGACAAAAGTAGGTTAAAGAATGCTTCTGAGAAACTTAAAATAACCACCAATGGAATTAAAAAGTAGGACATATAACTTTTAGAACACTAGAGATAATAAAAACAAAGATATTGTGGCCCGTATACTAAGGCAGAAAACAAAAGTAATCACAAAGCAGTGTAAGGAACAGAAAATATAAAAGTATTAGGTGAAATAGCCGAAGACCGAACGTGGCAGTTACGATGATAAATGTAAATGGGATCACCTCTCCTTTTAAAAGAAAAACAACTTAGAATAGATCAAGAAGCTAAAACAAAGGGTAAGGCTTCGAACTGGAACAAATCAGAACCAGAACCAACTGCTCTACTGCTGGTTCTCAGAATCGGTCCCTAACCAGCAGCATTATCCTCACCTGGGAACTTGTTAGAAGTGCAAATCCTCAGCAGAGGTTTGAACCCTAACAAACGGTTGGAAGCCCTGACAAAATGACACAGCACAGTCTTCTTGGTTGATTTGATAGCGCTGGTAGGTAGTGCTTCCCACATGCTGGGCACTCCACGAAGCACTGTGCAAACATTAATTCACATCACCCTCTGTCTTAGCTATCTAGTGCCACTGTAACAGAAATACCGCAAGTGGGTGGCTTTAACAAACAATTTATTTTCTCACAGTTTAGGAGGCTAGAAGTCCGAATGCAGGGCGCCAGCTCTAGGGAGAGGCTTTGTCTTTCTGTTGGCTCTGGTGGAAGGTCCTTGTCTTCTTCCGAGCTTCTGCTCCTCGGTGATCTTCCTGTGGCTTGGCATCTCTCTGCCCCCATCTCTGCTCGCTTATTTGTTTGTTTAATCTCTTTTATGTCTCAAAAGAGATTGACTTAAGACACCCATCAGAAAAGAGCCAAACCCACTGCCATCGAGTTGATTCCAGCTCACAGCAACCCTATAGTACAGAGTGGAACTGCCCCATTAGGATTTCCAAGGCTGTAAATCTTTACAGAAACAGACTGCCAGGTCTTTCTCCCATGGAGCAGCTGATGGGTTCTAACTGCTGACCTTCTAGTTAGCAGCCAAGTGCTTTAACCCCTGGGCCCCCGGGGCTCCTACTTAAGACACACCCTGCACTAGCACCGTGTCATTAACACAACGAAGAAAATCCACCGCCAAATGGCGTTATAACCACAGGTATGGGGGGTAAGATTTATAACACTGATTTTTGGGGGACACAATTGAAACCATAACACCCTCCTAATAGCTGGAGCCAAAATCTTGTGTTAACCCCACCAGACCCACCCCTCACCCTCTCCACCTTGTCCTCTGCCCTGAAAGCTGCCCCTCAGGGGGTCAGCACACACTCACTGGAGCCAGCAGGGCCTTGGAGGAGGGAAGAGGGAGGTCAGGGTGTTTACTCCCCTGTCTGTCTCCCTGCAGGTCGTTTGGGGCTTGGTTTGCTCCTTAACTGAAGGTCACTGTTCTGTCAAGATATTTTGCCCTGCACAACCCTATCCCCTTCTGGGTTCTGGCACCTTCTCTCCCTTCTCATCCCTTTGGGCCCTGGGATGACAACAGCTCGGTAGCTGCTAGCCCTAGGTTCCTGTGCCATCCCGTTGGGTTTTCTATTCAGGTGTAATTAGACTTTTTGTAAACAACCAAACCAGTTGTCAGAAAATCGAGTGAGTTCCAACCCATGGCGACCTCGTGTGTGTCAGAGTAGCACTGTGCTCCAGAGAGTTCTCAATGGCTGATTGTTTGGAGTAGATCACCAGGCTATTTTTCCAAGGCACCTCTGAGTGGTTAGCAGCCAAGCACGCTAACCATTTGCACCACCCAGGGACTCCCGTTATAAACAAATCCTTCTTTCATAGTTCCGTTTGACTGTACCGTCTTTCTCCTTTCGGGACCCTGACTGATACACCGTTCTGTGACAACTACTGCACTAATTCTTACTGAGCAGGGTGGTAACCTGGGGCACAGAGAAGTTAATGATTTCCAGGTCACTATGTACAACACAGTGCAACCTAATCATAAAAAAAGTTTCCATCTCCAAATAAAGAATGTATCTCCCTAAGCAAAGTACAACACTTTTCTGATAATTAAGCTTTAGCTTCTCCAGTGGAAACCTGAGGAAATACGCTGGAGAGGAAGACGCTGCATTTCTGCTGGGTGAAGTCTGGAGGAGACAGCCCACGGGGAGCCCTGGGAGAGCTTTGCGCCCCTGGAGCTGAGAGAGATCCATGTAGTTGGCTCCTCCTTTCTCTTGAACCCAACCTAAACCTCTCAACTCTTCTTCGGTAAAGACCAGAAGCGGGCAAATTATATTCCAGGAGGAATCATTAATATGGTGTCTGCTCCAAGAGGGAGAGTGACCTAACAGAGTTTGTCCCTGGGACCCAGGTGGGAGAATGGGGTGGCACAGAGTGTCACCGTCTTCTCCGAGCACTGACTGCAGCAAGCAGAGCTCTCTTCCCTTTTAAAGTACTCGATGCTGAGCGGGGTGGGAGCCCTGATGGCGCGCTGGTTAAGCTCTTGGCTGCTAACTGAAAGGTCGACGGTACGCTCCGGGGGAGGAAGATGTGGCAGTCTGCTTCTGTAAGGATTACAGTCTTGGAAAGCCTATGGGACAGTTCTACTCTGTCCTACAGGGTCACTCTGAGTCAGAGTTGACTCCCCGGCAATGGGTTTTTGGTTTGGTGCTGAGTGTTGGATCCAGTCTGACAGTGTACATGGGTTAAGGAGCCTGCAGATGGACTATCTGTAATTTAAGAGGCACCTGGAGCCCCTGCTGCTGGCATAGGCCCTTTGCTGTAGTTGAACAGGGCTCTTTCCTATTTCCCAAGTGGGTGCAAGCTCTACTGTTCCTCTGTAGGAATTCCCCCTACTTCAAGTTCATATTACAGTTTACCACCTTCAAGAAGTCTTTCCAAAGTCCATCCGTCTTTCATCCCATCCTCCCATATCATGTTGCGTCCACCTCTGTTATTGGACACTTGGAGCTTAACTGACGTCCATGGAGTCGTTCCCCCGGTTAACTGGCCTCCCTCCCTTCTGTACAGCAGATGGACTGGTGGAGAGCCCAGCCCACTGTGGCTGGCAGGCTTCTCTCCAGTGCACACTGGCCTATGTCCTCTCCCTGTTGAGTGCATGCTTCCCAGGGTTTGTTCCTAAACCTTGCTGGACCTACACCTGTGCTTGTGCTGGACCCTGGTGGCACAGTGGTTTGAGAGCTGAGCTGCTAACCAAAAGGTCAGCAGTTCGAATCCACCAGCTGCTCCTTGGAAACCCTATGGGGCAGTTCTGCCCTGTCCTAGAGGGTCGCTATGAGTCAGAATCGACTTGACAGCAACGGGTTTGGTGCTCGTCATTTGCGATTTAATTAAATATTGTATAAATGGATGAAATGGACTGGAGTTGCCTTTGAGAGTTTTATTAAATGCTTTGGAAAGATTCAGTAAAGCAGATTCCCCCCCTCCCCACCAAAAAAAGCCACTAAATTTTGTGTGGGTGAGACGACTGTAAAATTTGGGAAAAAATTGTAAAAACCTGGGCAGAGTCTGTACGAGGTCACTTCACACCTGTATTTGTTCTCAATCTTCTCTTGAGCCTGTGACCATAGATCGTGCATTGTGGTGGGTGTTACGCTAACACTCCACCCAGCCGGCCTGTGCTGTAAAAAAAGGCTTCATCTTCTGATATCAAAATACTGGCACATGACTGTACGTTTATATGTTACAAGTTGAAATAAAAATTTTAAGGTATGTGTATGTCATTTTTGTGATTCCTTTCTTTAACCAACTTGTTTTCTGATTAATCAGCCTGCTACCAGCTCCAATTGGAAAAGACCAAAAGGCTATTCCTGTATGTATAGTATAGAGTATACAGCGTTAGTATCATATATGCATCTCTAATACTTGGTTGTAAAATTTGGAAGGCAGTAACTCTTGTATATTTTGTAGTTTTCCTCCATGGAACCTAGCACAGTGCTTTCCATTTATTCACTCATCAAACATTGAGTGGCTTCTTGTTATCAGGCATGTGCCTTAGAGACGCAGGTATACATGACTCGGCCTTGCCCCTCAGGTGAGTCACAGCCGTAAAGCCAAGTATGCCAAAAGAATCAGAAGTGCTAAGGTAATGGATGTATAGAGTGCTGTGCTGGGCAGAGGATGGGCAGAGTTGACCAGAGAAAGCTTCACAGAACAGGTAACTCTTGAACTAGGTTTTGAAAGTCAGGCAGGATTTCACTAGCTAAAGAGAGGTTGAGAGAAAAAAGAAAGGAACAATGTGTGTGAAAAATAAAAAAGAGACCATGGTGTGTTCAGTGAATTGCAAGAAGGTTTGTGTGTCCAGAGCATAAGATGTCAAGGCGTTTAGATTTTATCTTGAGGGACACAGCGGCCATTCGCTTAGACCAGGCCTTCAATAAGTAAATGAACCGGAAGTATACGTACCATTTCAAAAGAAGGCTAATTTTAATGAGGGGCCATCTCTACCACACCTAAACCAGATAAATGCCTCTCACTGATTTGCACTCCTCTTTCCAGTTTGTCTCCAGCCACCCCAGTAGACACCCGTCCCCAGTACACACATACAGACTCTTCATCCCAGTCTGCTGGGGTTGCAGTAACAGACAGTTAACCCCGCCCAGGGGGAGCTGAGCACTGGACGTGTCACATGTGGTTCTTTTGCTTTCTCTAGGAGTATATGTGCATGATGGGGCTGCACAGCTGGCTGCACTGGGTTGCTTGGTTCATCATGTTCTTCATTTCTGTCTTCATTGCTGTTTCAGTCATGACAGTGTTGTTCTGCACAAAGGTACACGTACGTCTCCCTCAGGACGTGCTCTGCTCTCAGTAGGTGGGAAAGATTCTTGGTGGGTGGTGGTGCTGAGGTTCAATATCTGATGAAACGCAGTTGCTGGTGAGCACTTGGAAACGCACAGGTTGCTGTGTGGTGGTATTTGCTAAAGCTTCGGAGAGTTACGGGTTTAAACTTAGGATCGGGAAGAGCTTTGCCCCTCCTTCAGTTCCCTGGTTTCCAAGTACTGGACATGGGTGTGGTTAACTTCATTAGCAAAGTGGGATGTCAAAAGATGTCTTTTATAGACTTTAAAGCATTACAAATTTTATAATCTATAAATAGTTGAAAACAGTCATTGTGAAAGACAAGAACATTCTTTCATACCCATGATATCTTGTTATTTTTTCTTTTATGCTGTCAGTAAAATTTGGTGTTACAATCTGCTAACATGCATTTAATGATTGAATCATAATCCACTATACGGATATAAAAAAATTACTTTCTAAATTACCAAAATTGGCACAATTTGGACAAAGGAATGCAAGAAAACCTAGACTAAATAGGAAAAGTTAAGAAACAAAGGAAATTGCCAGGAAACATTAAACAGAGAAAACGTAAGATATCAAAAGGAATACCGAAATTATCTGTGACAATAATAATTAAAAATGGGATAAACTCATTTATTAAAAGATGAAAACATTCACATTGGATCAAAAACTTAAATCCAAACTCATACTCTCCAAAAAAAAGAGATACCCTCAAAAACTAAAAATTAAACTACCATGTGACCCAGCAATTCCACTCCTAGGTAATCTACCCAAAAGACTTGGAAGCAGAGACTCAAACAGAATTGTACACCAGTGTTCATTGCAGCACTATTCACAACAGCCAAAAGGTAGAAACAACCTAAACGCCGATCAACACATGAATGGATAAACAAAATGTGGTCCATACATACAATGGAATAGTACTCAGCCAGTAGGAGAAATGAAGTCCTGATATGTGCTATGGTATGGATGGAGCGGGAAAACATTATGCTGAATGAAATAAGCCAATCACAAAAGGACAAATATTGTATGACCTCACTTATACAGAACAGTGAGACAAGAAGAGGCAAATGTATAGAGACCAAAGTTTATTAATGGTTACCAGGGGTGTGAGGGAAAGAAAAAAGGGGAGGGGGTGTTATTGCTTATGGAGTACTGAGTTTCTGGTTTATGGTGATGGAAAAATCACATTGACTAAGGGTAGGGTTACACAACCGATTCGTGTAATTGTTGTTAATAAGTTGCACACCTGTAAAAAGTTGAATTGACAAAAAAGTTGTGTGATTATATTTACAACAATGACAAAAAAAAAAAAAAGAGTAGCCGCTGAGGCTGCTTATGTACAACCAAATACCTCAGGGGATTTGGTTCCTTGGTGTGGTGGTTGAGGGTCATGATTTTGTGGGATATCCCAGCTAATCAGCCTAATAACATGTTTAGTACGTCTGTCCTACCTCCTAGTTCATTGTGTAGCGTGTGGGGTCTTAAAAGCTTGCAAGCAGCCATCCAAGGCACAACAATTGGCCTCTATTCTCCTGGAGCAGCAGGGGACAGAGTCAGGACTAGGAGGAGGAAATGGAGTGTGTGGCCAATTGCCTCCATGAACAACTGCCCCTTTTGCCAGAGACCAGAAGAACTGAATGGTGCCTGGCTACCACTATTGAACATATTGATCAAAATTTCTGTAGAAGAATCTTGATCAAAAGGGGGGAAAAAAACAACAGAATTTCAAATTCTCATGGACTCCAGACTATCTGGAGACTTGGAGGCTGGCTGAAACCCTGAAAGTATTGCCCAGAGATAATCTTTAAATTTTAAACCAAAAATATCCCCTAAAGTCTCCTTAAAACCAAACAGTAGTTTAGCTTAACTGGTAAAGAATGTCTGCCTTGAACATTGTGCTCTTTTAAGATCTGTCTGTATGGGATCAAAGTGACAACAGCAACTGGAAAGATTACGTATGAACCTTAGAGGCAGTGAGTTTATGTTAATGGGGGAGGAACAACTCAGAAAACGAGGGTGAGAATGGTTGCACAACTTGAAGAATGTAATCAATGTCACTGAATTGTGCATGTAGAAATGGTTAAACTGGTGTATGTTCTGTTGCGTGTATTCTCAACAACAGCAACAACAAAAATAAAATAAATCATAAAAAATGAAAAGACACATGGAGAGAACATCATCTGTAAATAGCAACGGCATTGCTAGGTCAAAGATCTGTCTTAAAAACTATGTATTTATATATATGTGTGTATATATATTGTTTAGTTTCAAGATAATCTTGATTTTTAAAATGTCTGTATTGTTTCATGCTTTCTCCTCATCCTCTCCGTGTAAAAATGATCCACGTCTGTGGTTGTTTTGTAGATGCCTGATGTGGCCGTGTTCGACAACAGCGACCCTAGTTTGATATTTGTTTTTCTAATGTGTTTCGCCATTGCCACACTTTTCTTTGCGTTCATGGCCAGCACATTTTTCACAAAAGGTGAGTCCTCAGCTTGGTTTCTGTCGGGGGGTGGGTTTAGGACTTCTTTTTCTCGTAGCACGGCTCTTCCCGTTGTCTACAGTGTTAATTATTATTCCTTCAGAGCCAAATGTCCACCGTTTTAACAAAAGAAGAATTCTATTCGCCATTAAAAGCCTGTTCAAACATCTCAATGTATGTATGTTTCTATACTGCTTTTGGCTTCTAAGTATCATTTCTAATGGAGACTAGTAGTGAGTCTCAATTGGGAAGAAAAGGGAGGAATAAAATATTCAGGGCAGGTGGTTTTCCAGGTCTTGAATATGAAGTTGGGGCCCAACAGTAGGCTGACTTCTCGGATGCCGTAAAAGAGAGGAATTCCTTGGAATGTGGTCCTGTCAGGAGGAGTGTTGCCTCTGAAGCTATTGGTAGAATTGATTAGCCACAAGCGGTCAAAATAATAGTCATGAAGTCAGAGTGCAGGAGAATTGGATTGGAGGTCATCCTAGAGAGACACAGGCAGAAACTTGGATGGAGGATAGGTCCAGCAACTGGTGACAAAAAAAGGCTTACAGAGAACTGGAGCAAAACTCCACATGTGGTAGAGGTGAAGCTAGGCAGTTTATTGTTTACAGGTGTGAATATTTTACATCAAAGAGCATGTTCTAACACGTGCACCCTGGCAAACATTGACTCTGCCAAGATGGACATGGATAGTTTGGGATGTTGAAGGGGCCTGGACACCAACTCCTGATGTAAACGTGGTATCTTAATTCCTCCCTGCCCACAGCCTGAGGGCATACATGGCAGGAGTGATGGTCAGCCTAAGACTAAGGGACGCCAAAGGTCAGGACCCGAAAAGCTGAACTCGTGGGCAAGTACAAGAACTAAGTAGAGGACTGGAAATAAGAGACAAAACCAATGAGGTCAGAAGCACGATAAATCACAGTGGACAGCCAACAGCAAGAGAGTGCCAAGTAAAAGCAAAAATACACCAGGCAACCCAGCATGTATGATAATTAATTTTCAGTGAAAGGGCCAAGACAATTCAGCGAGGAAAGAAGAATCTTTTCAACTACTGGTGCTGGAACAACTGGATACCAAAACCCCTTGCCACTGAGTCGATTCGGACTCATAGCAACCCTATAGGACAGAGTAGAACTGCCCCATAGAGTTTCCAAGGAGCGGCTGGTGGATTCGAACTGCCAATCTTTTGGTTAGCAGCCGAGCTCTTAACCACTGCGCCACCACAGTTTCCAAAACAACTGGACAGCCACGTGCAAAAATATCTGAAATTGGACCCCTACCTCACCTCACACCATACATGAAAATTAATTCAAAGTGGTTCGTAGACCTACATGAAAGAGAGAAATCTGTAAAACTCTTACACAGGAGTAAACTTTCATGATCTTGGATCAGACAGTGATTTCTTAGGTAGGACCCCAGAAGCACAAATAATAAAGGAGATTGGTAAAGGTGTTTGTCAACAGCAAAATGGGTGAGCTGTGGTAATAGTAATACAATGGGTGGTACTCTGGAACAAAAAGGAATGAACTATTGAGACACGCAACGATGTGGATGGATCTCAAAAATACACATATATCTGTTGAATTAAAGAAGCCTTACGCAACGGAGACATCCTCTGTGGGTCTCCTAATGTAAAGTTTTATATCAGGCAGCTCAGAGCAGCGTTAGCCTCTGCGTGTTGAGGCTTTGCTGGAAAGGGAACTGAGGTACTTTCTGGAATGATAAAAAGATATTTCATGATTTGGGGTTTGGGTTGTACAAGTTTATACATTCATAAAAACTTATCGAATTACGCACTTAAGATCTGTGAATTTCACTCAAGGTAATTTTACCTTAAAAAAAAAAAGGCACCATACACAGACTCAAAATGTAAATAACAAAGAGGGAAATATTTTTGAACTTACATCACAAAGGGCTAATATCTCTAATGTGTAAAGAGGTTTTAAAAATTGAGAGGAGACTCCAAACACTGAACAGAAAAAAATGATTAAAACATAGAAACAAACAATTCCTAGACAAAAGGAATTCAGATAGACTTAAACAGATGAAATAAACATCAAGATACCATTTCTTACCTTCCAGACTGGCAAAAATCCAAAAGCCTGAGGATACATTTGGTGGGCACAGTTCTGGGGGATCGGCTGCTCCCGTACATTGCCGATGTGAGTGCCGAACAGTGTGACCTCTTTAGGGGCATTTGCAATAGCTAGCAAAATTATATACAAATTTAGCCTGTGACCCAGCAATTCTAAGTCTAAGAATATGCCCCAAATTTAGCCTGTCAAAAATTCAAAATCGTATATGTACAAGGCAGTTAATTGTGACATTATTTGTAATCTTAAAAGACTGAAAATAACTCACACTCCATCAGTAGGAGGACCCGTCGATAAGTGATGGTACAACCATACCGTGGAGTACTACACAGCACTAAAAAGTAATGAGGAAAATCTTTATGTGCTGATACAGAGTGATCTCCAGGCTACATTGTCAGTGCAAAAAAAGCAAGATGTAAAACCATCTTTATATCTATAGAGAAACGTAAATATTAATACAGAATTTGTTTATACTTTCAAAAAGAAACAATACACAGTTAAGTTAAAAAGTGATACAAATGGCTATTTGTGGGAGAATGAAGGAATAGGGCGCAGAGTGTGGTGGTGGAATGAGACTTCTGTGATGTACCTTATGTAATTTTGACTTTTAAACCATGTGAATTAGTTTCCTATTGCTGTAACAACTTGTCACATACTTAGTGCCTTAAAATCATACCAACTGATTATCTTAGAGTCAAAAGTCTGAAATGTGTTTTACTAGGCTAGAGTCAAGATGTCAGCCGAGCTGGTGTTCCTTCTGGACGGTCTAGAGGAGAACTCTTCCCCTTGCCTTTTCCAGCTTCTGGAGGATGCCTGCAGTCCTTGACTCGTGGCCTCTTCCTCCATCTTCAAAGCCAGCAGCCCAGCATCTTCAAATCTCAGTCTTCCCCCGCCCCTGACTTCTGCTTCTGTAGCCACGTCTCCTTCTTTGGCTCTGACACTCCTGTCTCCCTCTTATAAGGACCCTTGTGATTACATTGGGCCCACCAGATAATCCAGGATAATCGCCCCATCTCAAGATCTTGAATCATATCTGTATAATACCTTTTGCCATGTAAAGTAACATATTCACAGGTTTCCAGGGTTAGAACATGGCCATCTTTGGGAGGTCATTATTCTGTTTACCATGCCATGAAAATCATTGAAAAAGAAAATTATATAAATATGTAAAAGAAATGATAAAAGCAGTTTCTAAAAGTCGAAAACCAGTGGAAACAAATGTTTCAAGTTGGGGGTTTATTCCTACAAAGAAAAGAATTACTTCAAATGACTTTAAAACACAATGATTTTATTGTATATCCGTTGTGAGTGATTTTTTTCCCTAAATTTTATATAATTTGTGGTTGTTGTTGAGAATATACACAGCAAAGCACACACCAATTTTAACAGTTTCTAATACGTACCATCTAGTGACATTGATGACATTCTTCGAAGTATGCAGCCGTTCTCACTCTCCTTTGCTAAGTTGTTTCTCCCCCATTAACACAAACTCACGGCCCCTTAAATTTCCTGTCTACTCCTTTGAGTGGCTGTTGTCGATTTAATCCCACAGAGAGAGTTCTTTTAAGAGTGTAATGCTCAAGGCAGACATTCTTCACTACTTAAACTAAACTACTGTCTGGTTTTAAGAAGATTTCAGGGGGTATTTTTGGTTTAAGGTAAAGATTATCTCAGGGCAATAGTTTCAGGGGTTTGTGAGTGATATTTTAAAGACAAAAAGAATTACAAAGAAATTTAAAGCCGTATTTTGTAGTCTTACTGTTAGTAGTAGGGTTGGTACTGCTATTTTGAAACCAGTACAGGTATGTTGTTGTTGCTGGGCGCTGTCCAGTGGATTTTTGACTTACAGCAACCCCATGTTACGGAACAAAACTGCCCCATAGGGTTTCCTGGGCTGTAGTCTTTATGGAAGCAGGTTGCCAGGTCTTTCTCCCACAGAGCTTCTGGGTGGGTTCCAACTACCAGCCTTTTGGTTAGCAGCCAAGTGCTTAACCGTTGCACCACCAGGATTCGATAGGATAAAGCAAAAAAGTAGAAACAAAAATTTTCAATATAAAAGAACTACAAATACAATACCAATATTAGAATCACGCCCTATAATCATAAACTTTTGTTAGAATTGTCAGTAGGAACTCATTGTTTTTCTTTTTTAAATATATTTTCTCACCATGTCCACCGAAAAGACCCAGAAGCAGTTACAACCTAGTAGTAACAAACACCTTAGTGCCCAGACTGTGGTCTCTGAATGCCTCTGTGAGGAATCTCCTTAGAGAAATAGCTGATTCTAGATCTGGGGGAGGAAATGTACAAGACGAGCGTGGGGCATTTTGTACGACAGCAAGGAAGCTCTCAGCTGATGGGACAGTGTCTAAAGGATAAAGGGATCTACTTGAAAAAGCTCCCACTGGCCAAGATACGACATTCTGAGCGTCAAAAAGAATGATGACTGCAGTGGATTGAAATATGAAATAGTAATATGTAAAAATTCATGATTTATAATGATGCCAGAAAATACCTCACTGGTCACCATTGGAGATTTCTAGGGCATCTGCCCGTTGCACCCCAGTGCCACCACAGGCCTGAAGGGAGGAAGATGTTCTTGGTCTCCCACTGCTGCCCCAGATCATTGCTGTTTCCTCCTGGCTTGGAAGACCCAGCCCCTGTGAAGAGGGTGTCATCAGACTAAAGCAAGTGCTGCTTTGTGGTGCGGTCCTCTACTGCTCCTGGGGCTTCTCCTTGGTCCTGGAAGTGTGAGCTCCTGGCTCACTGTTTTTCTCTCCATCGTCAACTCCTGTGACCATTCTTGGTGCTCCAGCTCCTTCTTCTCTCAGCTCCTGACCTCATTCCAATGACCTTTTCATCCACTCTGCATAGTGACCCCATGTGCCTGTGGTCATCCCTAGGCCTTGGCCCCACCGGTCATTGGACCTGAGAATCTCAGCCTCAAACATCCCAACATCTCCTTCTCATTTTAACTATGTTTTCACTGTGATTAAATATATATATATATCTATTCCATTGTCATTGAATCGATTCCAACTAATACAGACCCTATAGGACAGAGTAGAACTGCCCCATAGGGTTTCCAAAGCTGTAATCTTTATGGAATCAGACTGCCACATCTTTCTTCTGCTGAGTGGCTGGTGGGTTTGAATCGCCGACCTTTCAGTTAGCCGCCAGTTGCTTAAACACTGCACTCCCTTGCTCGCTCTCTTTTTCATTCTCTCTTATAAAATCTGCCATTTTAACCGTCCTTAAGTATCCAGTTCAGTGGCATGAAGTACCTTCACTATGTTGTGCAACCATCATCACTATCCATTTCCAAAAGTCTGCATCACCCCAAACAGAAACTCTGTACCTAACTCCCCGCTAGCCCTTTCTCTTCCCCCTAATAACCTTTACTCTACATTTTGTCTCTGTGAGTTTGACTATTCTAGATACTCCATATAAATGGAATCAGACAATATTTATCCTTCTGTGTCTGGCCTCTTTCACTTAGCATATTTCCAAGGTTCGTTCATGTTGTAGCGTGTATCAGAACTTCATTCCTTTTTATTGCTAAGTAAATTTGGATTGTGTGGATAGAGCACATTTTGTCTGTTCATTTGTTGATGGACATTTGAGTTGTTTCCAACTTTTGGCTATTGTGTATAATGCTGCAGTGAACACTGGTGTACAAGAACCTGTTTGAGTCCCTGCTATCAATTCTTCGGGGGTATATACCTGTCTTAGTCATATAGTGCTGCTACAACAGAAATACCACAAGTGGATGGCTTTAACAAAGAGGAATTTATTTCCTTACAGTAAAGTAGGCTAAAAGTCCAAATTCAGGGCGTCAGCTCCAGGGGAAGTCTTTCTCTCTCTCAGCCTTCTCATCAGTGTTTTCCCTGGACTAGGAGCTTCTCAGCGCAGGGACCCCTGTCCAAAGGACGCACTCTGCTCCCGGCACTGCTTTCTTGATGGTATGAGATCCCCCTGTCTCACTGCTCACTTCTGTCTTTTATATCTCAAGAGATTGCCTCAGGACACAATCCAGCCTTGTAGATCAGGTCCTGCCTTACTAACACAACTGCCACCCATCCTCCCTCATTAACATCATAGAGGCAGGTTTACAACATACAGGAAAATCACACAGTACCAGGAATCATGGCCTAGCCAAATTGATACACACATTTTTGGGGGGACATAATTCAAACCATGACAATACCTAAGAGTGGAATTGCTGGGTCATATGGTAGAGGGTGAGCAAAACAGAGGAGGACCCTCAGCAAGATGGATTGACACAGTGGCTGCAACAATGGACTCAAACGTACCTACCACAGTGGGGATGGCACCGGACCAGGAAGAGTTTCCTTTTGTTATACATGGGGTCGGTGTGAGTTGGAACCGACTTGATGGCACCTAACAACAACATGGAAATTGTATTTTTAACTTTCTGAGGAACTGCCAAACCATCTCCCACACAGCGACTGCAGTATTTTACGACTTCCCCAGCAATGCACGGGGACCCCAATTCTCTACATGCTCACCCACACTTGTTATTTTTCCTTTTTTTTCAAATAACTATCTTAGTGAGTACGAAGTGACATCTCATTGTGGTTTTGATTGGCATGTTCCCGACGACTAATGATGCTGAGCACCTTGTCAGGTGCTTATTGGCCGTTTATATCTCTTCTTTGGAGAAATGTCTACTCAAGTTCTAGCCCCATTTTTTAATCAGATTTTTTGTCTTTTTATTGTTGAGCTGTAGGAGTTCTTTGTATATTCTGGATATTAAACCCTTATCAAATATATGATTTACAAATATTTTCTCCCATTCTGTAGGTTTTCTTTTCACTTTCTTGATATTGTCCTTTGATGTACATTTTTAATTTTGATGAAGTTCAATTTATGTATTTTTTTTCTTTTGTTTCTTGTGCTTTTGGTGACGAGTGGTTCATGTTTTAAGTCCCACAAATACTCTAAGTCTTTCAATAGTGAAAGCCCAACTATAGAAAGCGTCTATCACAATTTCTTAGAAAATGGCTTCCCTTCTGAAACGCTGCGATACGCGCAGAGATATGTTCTTCATTGTGGCGGGGGATGGGGTGTGTGTTGTAGTTCTTCATACATGATGAATCTTTTCTCATGTCTCCTCCTGAACTTGTAGCCCACGTTGCAACTGCTACAGGAGGTATCGTCTTCTTCTTAACCTACCTCCCGTACCTGTACGTCACTTTCAGCTACACCCAGAGGAGTCATTTCCAGAAGATCGCCTGTTGTCTGTTCTCCAATGTTGCCATGGCCTTGGGAGTCCGATTCATATCCTTGTCGGAGGCAAAAGGTGAGCTTGCTCCTTCCCGAATGCTCGCTAATCTGCCTTTTTTAAAATTATTATTAGCTTTAGGTGAAAGTTTACAGCTCAAGTTAATTTCTCATATAAAGATTTATACCCATATTGTTATGTGACACTAGTTGCAATCCCTATAATGTGACAGCACACTCCCCCTTTCCACCCTTGGCTTCCTGCGTCCATCCAACCAACTCCTGTCCCTTCCTGCCTTATCCTGCCTCCCGCCAGGAGCCGCTCATTTGGTCTCCTGTATCTGCTTGAACTAAGCAGCACACTCTTCATGAGTATTATTTTATGTTTTATAGTCCAGTCTAATCTTTGTCTCAAGAGCGGGCTTTGGGAATGGTTTTTGTTCTGGGCCAACAGAGCGTCAGTGGGCCATGGCTTTGGGGGTTCCTCCAGTCTCGGTCAAACCATTAAGTCTGGTGTTTTTATGTGAACTTGAGTTCTGCTCCACACTTTCCTCCCACTCCGTCAGGGACTCTCTGTTGTGTTCCCTGTCAGGGTGGTCATTGGTGGTAGCCAGGCACTATCTAGTTCTTCGGGTCTCAGGCTGATGTTGTCTCTGGTTTATGTGGCTCTTTTGTCTCTTGGGCTAGTATTTTCCTTGTGTCTTTGGTGTTCTTCATTCTCCTTTGCTCCAAGTTGGTTGGGACCAATTGATGCATCTTAGATGGCTGCTCAAGGTTTTAAGACCCCTCGCTAATCTGCCTTGATGCTTCGCCATGGCTAACAGGCCAGGATGGCCTTCATTTTCAGATAAAAACAACTGGTGACACCCTGAGATAATCTTTAAACCTTAAGCCAAAAATATCCCCTGAAGTCTTCTTAAAACCAAACAACAATTTAGCTTAACCAGTAAAAAACTCTGCCTTGAGCATTATGCTCTTTTAAGAACTCTCTACATGGGATCAAATTGATAACAGCAACTCAAAAGATTAGATAGGCAACTTAGGGGGCAGTGAGTTTATGTTAATGGAGGAGGAAGAACTCAGAGACGGAGGGTGAGAATGGTTGCACAACTTGAAGAATGTAATCAATGTCACTGAATTGTACCTGTGGAAATTGTTGTATGTTTTGCTGTGTATATTCTCAACAACAACAAAATAAATAAATTTAAAAAAAAAAACACAACGGGAACATTTCAGTTAGTGTTTTGAGTATTTACAATATACTTATAACTATGGTAGGTACAGAATCCCTGGTGGTGCAGTGGTTAAAGTGCTCAGCTGCTAAGCAAAATATCGGTGATTCAAACCTACCAACTACTTCTCAGGAGGAAGACGTGGCAGTCTGCTTCCGTACAGATCTACAGCCTTGGAAACCCTAGGGGGCAGTTCTGCAATGTCCTGTAGGGTCACTATGAGTCGGAATCAACTTGACAGCAGTGGGTTTGGTTTGGTTTGGTTTATGGTAGGTACTGTGTAGGATACTACAGAAATATAGGATGTGGTCCTCGCCATCACACAGCTTGCAGTGTAGCTTGGGACACAGAACTAAAGCATATCAAAGAATTAGGAAATGAGCTCTGGTGGCACAGTGGTTAAGAGCAATGGCGAGCTAAGGCTGCTAACCAAAAGGTCAGTGGTTCAGATCCACCACCTGTTCCTTGGAAACACTATGAGGCAGTTTTACTCTGTCCTATAAGGTTGCTATGAGTCAGAATCGACTCGACGACAACAGGTTTGGTTTTATATAATTATGTAGATATAAAATAACAGATTTTTTTTAACTATGATTATGATTGATCATAATTTCAGATAATAGAACTTAACAGATAACATAGTACTTTTTACTAACAAGCTTCACGAGAGCTTGTTAGAAATGTGGACTCCCAGGCCCCACCCAGGTTCTAAATCGGAATCTGCTTTTTTTTTTTTTAGATAATATTTTCTTGTGTTTTCAGTGAAAGTTTACATGGCAAATTAGGTTCCCATTTAACAATTTCTACATAATTTGTTCATGACATGGGTTACATTCTATACAATGTGTCAACATTATCATTATTTCCGTTCTGGTTGTTCTGTTTCCAGTAATCTAGTTTCCCTGCCCCCTTGCCTTCTCATCTTTGCTTTAGAGTAATTGTTGACCATTTGGTCTCATATAATACAGCCTGCATTTTAACAAAATCTGCAGGTGACTCGTAAGAGCGGTAAAGTTGAGGAGCTTTGATAAGGACTGGCCCATCTCTCTGCTCACCAGTGCGTGAGTCTCGCCTGTGGTGGCACTGATTTCCACCTCCTAAGTCCCACCAAAGGAACCCTGGTGGCACAGCGGTTAAGTGCTCGGCTGCTAACTGAAAAGTTGGCTGTTCAAACCCACCCAGCAGCTCTGTGGGAGAAAGACCTGGTGAACTACTCCATAAAGATTACAGCCGAGAAAACCCTAAGAGGCAGTTCTTCTCTGTCACATGGGGTGGCTGTGAGTTGAAAATCGACTCAATGGCACCCAACAGCAACAAGTCCTACCATGGCAGCGCCAGATGCCCAGTATCTTGGATGCTTGAAATAAAAAGTGTGGTCAGCTTTTATTCAAATCAGACACTTTGACATGACTTAGGGTCCATATCTCCAAATATACCCAGGAATTGGTCCCAATACTCCCTCAGTTGTTGTAGTTGTTAGGTGCTGTCCAGTTGGTTCTGAATCATAGCGACCCGATGTACAACAGAATGAAACACTGCCCGGTCCTGCACCATCCTCACAATTATTGCTGTGCTTGAGGCCACTGTTGCAGCCACTGTGTCAGTCCATCTTATTGAAGGTCTTCCTCTTTTTCGCTGACCCTCTACTTTACCAAGCATGATGTCCTTCTCCAGGGACTGGTCCCTCCTGATAACATGTCCAAAGTATGGGAGATGTAGTCTCGCCACCCTTGCTTCAAAGGAGCATTCTGGCTGTACCTCTTCCAAGACAGATTTGTTGTTTCTTCTGACCGTCCATGGTATATTCAATATTCTTTGCCAGCATCATAACTCAAAGACATCAATTCTTCTTCAGTCTTACTTATTCATTGTCCAGCTTTTGCACGCATATGAGGTGATCGAAAATACCATAGCTTGGGTCAGAGGCACCTTAGTCCTCAAAGTGACATCTTTGCCTTTTAACACATGAAAGAGGTCTTTTGCAGCAGATTTGCTCCGTGCAATACGCCATTTGGTTTTTTGACTACTGCTTCCATGGGTGTTGATTGTGGATCCAAGTAAAATGAAATCCTTGACAACTTCAATCTTTTCCCCCTTTATCATGATGTTGCTTATTGGCTCAGTTGTGAGGATTTTTGTTTTCTTTATGTTGAGGTATAATCCACACTGAAGGCTGTATTCTTGATCTTCATCAGTAAGTGCGTCAAGTCCTCTGCACTCTCAGAGCAAGGTTGTGACATTTGCATATTGCAGGATGATAGTCTTTCTACAGTCCTGATGCTGCGTTCTTCTTGATATGTATGAATTCTCAGATTATTTGCTCAGCATACAGATCGAATAAGTATGGTGAAAGGATATAACCCTGACACACACCTTTTCCTGATTTTAAACCACGCGGTATCCCCTTGTTCTGTTCAGATGACTGCCTCTTAGTCTGTGTACTAGTTCCCTGTGAGTACAATTAAGTGTTCTGGAATTCCCATTCTGCATAATGTTATCCGTATTTGCTATGATCCACAGTGTCAAATGCCTTTGCGTAGTCAGCAAAACACAGGTAAACATCTTTCTGGTATTCTCTGCTTTCAGCCAATATCCATCTGACGTGGTAATGATATCCCTGGTTCCACATCTTCTTCTGAATCCGGCTTGAGTTTCTGACAGTTCCCTGTCAATGTACTGCTGCAACTGTTTTTGAATGATCTTCAGCAAAATTTTACTTGCATGTGGTTATTAATGATATTGTTTGATAATTTCCGCATTCTGTTGGATCACCTTGCTTTGGAATGGGCACAAATATGTATCTCTTTCAGTCAGTTGACCAGGTACCTGTCTTCCAAATTTCTTGGCATAGACGAGTGAGTACCTCCAGCACTGCATCCGTTTGTTGAAACATCTCAATTGGTATTCCATCGATTCCTGGAGCCTTGATTTTCACCAATGCCTTGAGTGCAGCTGGGACTTCTTCCTTTAGTACCATCAGTTCTTGTTCATATGCTACCTCCTGAAATGGTTGAACATCGACCAATTCTTTTTGGTACAGTGACTCTTTATTCCTTCCATCTTCTTTTGATGCTTCCTGCATCATTCAATATTTTGCCCATAGAATCCTTCAATATTGCAACTCGAGGCTTGAATTTTGTCTTCAATTTTTTCAGCTTGAGAAATGCTGAGCAGCGTGTTCTTTCCTTTTGGTTTTCTAACCCCCCATCTTTGCACATTTCATTATGATACTTTACTTTGTCTTCTTGAGCTGCCCTTTGAAATCTTCTGTTCAGCTCTTTTACTTCATCGTTTGTTCCATTCACTTTAGCTGCTCTATGTTCAAGAGCAAGTTTCAAAGTTTCTTCTGACATCCATTTTGGTCTTTTCTTTCTATCTAGTCTTTGGTCATTAGTGTTCAATGCATCAAATCTAGTCTTGAGATGGTCTCTAAATTCAGATGGAATATACTCCAGGTCGTACTTTGGCTCTTGTGGACTTGTTTTAATTTTCTTCAGCTCCAGCTTGAACTTTCATACGAGCAGTTGATGATCTGTTCCACAGTGGGCCCCTGGCCTTGTTCTGACTGGTGATATTGAGCTTCTCCGTAGTGTCTTTCCATAAATGTAGTCAATTTGATTCCTGCGTATTCCATCCAGCAAGGTCTACGTGTATAGTCGCCGTTTATGTTGTTGAAAAACAGTGTTGGCAATGAATAAGTTGTTGGTCTTGCAAAATTCTATCATGTGATCTCTGGCATCATTTCTATCACCAAGGCCATATTTTCCAACTACCAATCCTTTTTTATTTCCAACTTTCGCATTCCAATCATCAATAATTATTAATCCATCTTGATTGCATGTTTGATCAATTTCAGACTGCAGAAGTTGGTAAAAATCTTCAATCTCTTCATCTTTGGCTTTAGTGTTTGGTGCATAAATTCGAATAATAGTCGTATTAACTGGTCTTCCTTTTAGGCATATGGATATTATCCTATCACTGTCAACCTTGTACTTCAGGATAGATCTTGCAATGTTCTTTTCAACCATGAATGCGATGCTGTTCCTCCTCAATGTGTCATTCCCGGCAGAGTAGACCATATCCTCCCACACTGCTTTCTTTATTCAGGAATAAGCGTACACTGAGTGTCTCCCGCTCTGCAGGAGGAAACATGTTGCAGTCTGCTTCCATAAAGATTAGAGCCTTAGAAACCCTCTGTGGCAGTTCTGACCTGTCCTATAGGTTCACTGTGGGTTGGAATTGACTTAACCCCAACAGGTTTGGATTTTGTTTCTGAGTGTCTGCTGTACCCGAGGCCTTGTGCCTAATGTTGGAGATATTGCAATAGACGTTACAGTCCCTGGCCCCAGTTGGCCCGTACTGGGAAAGCAGTAAGTGAGCAGATTCACGGTGCGACGCGGGAAGTTCTGCCATCAAAGCGAGTGCAGGCACCCTGATGCACAGTGGCTGGGTGTCTCACCCAGACGGGGAAGTGGGCATGCACAGTTCTTGGATAAGGAGATAGCTGCACTGGCCTTTGAAGTAAGAATTAGCCAAGCAAAGAAGGTGAGGAGGAGTGGGAGGGCTTGCAGGCAGCACATGCAGAATCTTGGAGATGAGGCTCAGGTCCCCAAGCTTCTTACTTCTTGGTGCCAATGAAACTACTGCCACCTTTTGGCAGTATGGAAAACGTTTTCTCTCATGGGAGAAACCAGCAGCTCTTGCCTTCCCCTTTCCTGTGCCCAGTGTTTGTCCCTAAATGCCCAAACACAAGCAACCCAGATGTGTTGTTGGCCTGGCCCCCGACTCCTTGATTGGGAAGTTCAGGTGATCTTCTCTGTCTTGAGTGTGGTAGGCTTAGTAATTTTTCCTTCCATTTTAACAGGTGTAGGGCTGCAATGGAGGAACATAGGCAGCCTAAATGGAGACTTTAACTTCACTCAAGTGCTGCTGATGCTACTGTTTGACTCTTTCTTGTATGGCTTAGTGGCCTGGTACTTGGAGTCCATCTTCCCAGGGGCATATGGTACACCCAAGCCCTGGTACTTCTTTGTCATGGTGAGTTCCGATGCTGCTGTTTTTAGGTTGGCCTCAGAATTCTTAACTATTTGTCATCAGTAGCCTTACCTCTCTTTGTGGTGTCCTGATTGAAATCTCAAACTCCAGGAACCCTCTAACCTGGATTCACCTGATACCCATCAGCTGTGGTCCCCAATGAGTAGAACTAAGAGTCCTTTTCCATTTCACTGCCAAGGCAGTGACAGAGTCCCTCCCAGGGTGTCCACAGGTGTCTCCCATGTGCCTGCTTGAAGATCAGGCCCGCATCCCCCACCTCCGACACCACCCACTGTGCTGGAGCACCAGGACTCCACCATCTCTTTCCCTGCTGAGCAGTTCTCTCAGGATGGCCCTGAGAGGAGGCCTTGTGAGCCCAGGGCGTGGGCAGGGCGGCCTGCACTGACAGCCTGTGAGTTCCCAGGAGCACTTCTCTCCTGTGATAACTAAGCTTTCCTGTACAGTCAGGCTCGTCATGCCTGACTCAGTCCTCACTCAGCCTCTGGTGGGCCTGCCCCCATAGGTCCTCAGCTGCCACCCCTGCCCCTCTCGGACCCCTCAGTGGAGTTTGGAGATGTAGGTAGGTTGCTGCTCCAGCATGTCCCTAGCCCATAGGGATGCTGACTGCCCACACAATGGTGATCCAGGCACCAGGAGCATGGATTGGAGGCATCCTGTGTAGCTCCATCCTCGGGGCTGTGGGCTATGCGAGGAGCCCATGAACAAGTTACTTAACTTCTCCAGGCACCATTAAATGATCCAACAAAGAAACTGGGAAAAAGGAATTATTTTTTAATGTTTTTATTTTATTGTTGTTGAGAATTTACACAGCAAAACATACACCAATTCAGCAGTTTCTACAAGTACAATTCAGTGACATTGATTACATTCTTCAAGTTGTGCAACCATTCTCACCCTTCTTCTCTGAGTTGTTCCTCCCTCATAAACTCACTGCCCCTGTTTCGGAACTGATCTTTTGAGTTGCTGTTGTCAATTTGATCCCATATAGATAGTTCTTATAAGAGCATAATGCTCAAGGCAGACATTCTTTACTAGTTAAACTAGATTTTAAGAAGACTTCAGGGAATATTTTTGATTTAAGATTTAAAGATTATCTCAGGGCAGTAGTTTCAGGGGTTCATCCGCCTCAGTGGCTCCAGAAAGTCTGGAATCCATGGGGAAAAGGAATTTAATTTACCAGAATATTTATTTTCCAGAAAAATAGTCAGTTCACATAATGTATTAATGCGTAAGTTGACTTCCTCTCCAGCCCTCCTACTGGCAAGGAAAACCTATACCTCTTACGCACTCAATGCTGCAAACTGATGATTCTGAGGATGCTCTGAAGAACAAGTTTATTCAAGAAGAGCCTGTTGGTTTGATTAAAGGCATTGAAATCCAGCATCTGTACAAGGTATCCACTCCCAAACCTCCTCCCAGAGAACCTAAGGAAATAGTCCATACAGGCTTCTGTTTTATTCTGACCGTGGGTCCACAGTACATTTTGTGATAGAGAATTTTAATTCCCCTCTGCAATGCTATCCTAAAGTTAAGAATACAAGATTAAAATACCCCGTTTCTCGTTATAAAGTAAAATGGCTGGATGGAGGGTCCAGGTGGCCTCTCAGAGAATGGTCTCCTCCCAATGCCATCCCCACCCCCGGGTCACACTGGAACCCAGACTTCTGATGGCCGACTTTATTCAGCAGCATTTTTGCATAGCCGAAAGCCAGCTTTCACTGTCGGCTTCCAAGGGTCAACATCAAGGCATTTGTCCTGTCACTGGGGTTTGCCGAGTGCCTGCTGCATGCATGGCCCCGTGTGGACTAAGGGCAGACCTTCTATGTCTGACCCAAGGGCTCCCCTCCTGGAGTGCCTGGTGGGGAGCTGCTTGCCCGAGAATGTCCCACAGAGCATCGCTGTTTGTTCATTTGTTTGTCTGAACGTCTTCCACGGAGGAGCAACTCACACTTGAGGTCCTGCTGCTTCCGCTTGTGGGAGAGCAGGGAGCACATCAGAGCCCAGGGCACCTGAGGGATGGGGGACAGCTGTAGCCTTCCACTGACCGTGTAGCAGTTAGAAATGTTTGAGGCTTCTCTCAGTTTCCCCCCTTGAACTAGTTACCATCAAGGCGATTCCCACTCGTGGCAACCCTATGTGTGCAGAGTAGAACTGCTCCTTAGGATTTTTTTGGCTGTAATCGTCACAGAAGCACATCATCAGGCCTGTGTTCCAAGGCGCCTCGAACTGCCAGCCTTTCACTTAGTAGTCAAGTGCTTAAAGGTTTTCACCACCCAGCACTTCTCCCCCAATTTATTGAGGCTTAAGTAAGCAGGACCACCACTCGTCTGTCAGTTTGTGTACTGTGGTGGCTTTCATGTTGCTGTGATGCTGGAAGCTATGCCACCAATATTTCAAATACCAGCAGGGTCACCCATGGTGGACAGTTTCAGCGGAGCTTCCAGATGGAGACAGACTAGGAAGAAGGACCTGGCAACCTACTTCTGAAAAAATTGGCCAGTGGAAATCTTATGAATAGCAGCAGAATATTGTCTGATATAGTGCCGGAAGATGAGCCCCTCAGGTTGGAAGGCACGCAAAAGACAACTGGGGAAGAGCTGCTTCCTCAAAGTAGAGTCGACCTTAATGACATGGATGGAATCGAGCTTTCGGGACCTTCATTTGCTGATGGGGCACGACGCAAAATGAGAAGAAACAGCTACAAAATCCATAATAATCAGAACGGGGAATGTACGAAGTATGAATCCAGGAAAATTGGAAGTTGTCAAAAATCAAATGGCACGCATAAAGTTCGATACCTTAGGCATTAGTAAGATGAAATGAACTGATATTGGCCGTTTTGAATCAGACAATCATATGGTCTACTATGCTGAGAATGACAAATTGAAGAGGAATGGGGTAGTGTTCATTGTCAAAATGAACACTTCAAGATCTATCCTGAAGTACAACGCTGACAGTGATAGGATAATATCCATACACCTACAAGGAAGACCAGTTAATACGACTATTATTCAAATTTATGCACCAACCAGTAAGGCCAAAGATGAAGAGATTGAAGATTTTTACCAACTTCTGCAGTCTGTAATTGATCAAACATGCAATCAAGATGCACTGATAATTACTGGTGATTGGAATGCTAAAGTTGGAAACAAAGAAGGATCAGTGGTTTAAAATATGGCCTTGGTGATAGAAATGACACTAGAGATCACATGATAGAATTTTGCAAGACCACGACTTTTTCATTGCAAATACTCTTTTTCAACAACACAAACGGCAACTATATACAGAGACCTCTCCAGATGAAATATGCAAGAATCATATCGACTATATCTGTGGAAAGAGAGGATGGAAAATGTCAATATTTTCAGTCAGAACAAGATCAGGGGCCAACTGTGGAACAGACTATCAATTGCTCATATGCAGGTTCAAGATGAAGCTGAAAAAAATTAGAACAAGTCCACGAGAGCCAAAATACGACCTCGGGTATATCCCACTTGAATTTAGAGACCATCTGAAGAATAGATTTGACGCACTGGAACACTAATGACTGGAGATCAGACCTGTTGTGGGATGACATCAAAGACATCACACATGAAGAAAGCAAAAAGATCATTAAAAAGACAAGAAAGAAAAAAAAGACCATAGTGGATGTCAGAAGAGATTCTGAAACTTGCTCTTGAATGTAGAGTAGCTAAAGCAAAGGGAAGAAATGAAGTAAAAGAGCTGAACAAAAGATTTCAAAGGACAGCTCAAGAAGACAAAAGTATCATAATGAAACGTGCAAAGACCTGGAGTTAGAAAACACAAAGGGAAGAACACACTGAGCATTTCTCAAGCCAAAAGAACTGAAGAAAAAATTCAAGCCTCGAGTTGTGATATTGAAGGATTTTATGGGGAAATATTGAACAACACAGGAAGCATCAAAAGAAGATGGAGGAATACAGGGTCACTCTACTAAAAAGAATTGGTCGATGTTCACCCATTTCAGGAGGTAGCATATGAACAAGAACTGATGGTACTAAAGGAAGAAGTCCAAGCTGCACTCAAGGCATTGGTGAAAATCAAGTCTCCAAGAATTGGTGAAATACCAATTAAGATGTTTTAACAAACGGATGCAGGGCTGGAGGTGTTCTCTTGTCTATGCCAGGATATTTGGAAGACAGATACCTGGCCAATTGACTGGCAGAGATCCACATTTGTGCCCATTCAAAAGAAAGGTGATCCTTTATCAAACAATATCATTAATATCACACACATGTAAAATTCTGCTGAACATCCCTTAAAAGTGGTTGCAGCAGTACATTGACAGGGAACTGCCAGAAATTCAAGCCAGATTCAGAACAAGATTTGCAACAAGGGGTATGCTGATGTCAGATGGATCATGGCTGAAAGCAGAGAATATCAGAAAGATGTTTACCTGTGTTTTATTGACTGTGCAAAGACATTCGACTGTGTGGATCAGAACAAATTATGGATAACATTGCAAAGAGTGGGAATTCCAGAACACTTAATTGTGGTCATGAGGGACCTGTACATAGACCAAGAGGCAGTTTTTCAAACAGAACAAGGGGATATTGTGTGGTTTTAAGTTAAGAAAGGCGTGCGTCAGAGTTGTATCCATTCACCATACTTATTCAATCTGTTTGCTGAACAAATAATCTGAGAAGCTGGACTGTATGAAGAAGAACGGGGCATCAGGATTGGAAGAAGACTCATTAACAACCTGTGATATGCAGATAACACAACCTTGCTTGCTGAAAATGAAGAGAACTTGAAGGACTTACTGATGAAGATTAAAGACCACAGCCCTCATATGGATTACGCTTCAGCATAAAACAAAAATCCTCACAACAGGACCAATGAGCAACATCATGATAAACAGAGAAAAGATTGAAGTTGTCAAGGATTTTGTTTTACTTGGATCCACAATCAACGCCCATGTTAGCAAGTCAAGAAATCAAACGACGTATTGCACTGAGCAAATCTGCTGCAAAAGACCTCTTTCAAGTGTTAAAAAGCGAAGATGTCACTTTGAGGACTAAGGTGCACCTGACCCAACCCATGCTATTTTCAATTGCCTCATATGCATGCGAGAGCTGGACAATGAGTAAGGAAGACTGAAGAAGAATTGCCGCCTTTGAATTATGGCATTGGTGAAGAGTATTGAATATACCATGGACTGCCAGAAAAAGGAACAAATCTGTCTTGGAAGAAGTACAGTCAGAATTCTTCTTAGAAGCAAGGATGGTGAGCCTTTGTCTCACGTACTTTGGATATGTTATGAGGAGGGACCAATCCCTGGAGAAGGGCATCATGTTTGGTAAAGTACAGGGTCAGCGAAAAAGAGGAAGACCCTCAGCGAGATGGATTGACACAGTGACTACAACAATGGGCTCGAGCATAACGATTGTGAGGATGGTGCAGGACTGGGCGGTGCTGTGTTCTGTTGTACATGGGGTCACTATGAGTCGGAACCAACTCGATGGCACCTAACAACGACTATAAGTAGGAAAGAGCCCTGGTGGCAAAGGAGTCCTAGTGGCACAGTAGTTAAAGCACTCAGCTGCTAACCAAAAGGTCGGCAGTTTGAACCCACCAGCAGCTCTGCAGGAGAAAGATGTGGCAGTCTGTTTCTGTAAAGATTGTTGGAAACCCTATGGGGCAGTTCTTCCCTGTCCTAGATGATCACTGTGAGTCGGAATCGAGTGGACAGCAGTGGGTTTTAGGTTAGATGTAAGTAGGAATTTTGTTTTGTTTTTTCACTTAACAAGAAATCTCCACGCAGGTGGTTTCTGGCCTGATTTCAGCTGCTCAGCAGAGATGGCCCAGACCACAACTTTGTCTGTTTTTATTTTTCCCCTGGGCCTTCCTGGCAAATTGGCCTTTGTCTGCACTCATCACTTCATGGTTGCAAGATGGTGCGGCGGCTGTCTGTGGAGAAAGACAAGGCCAAAGGCTAAAGGCTTCCTTTTGGCGATGCTTTGTCCTCCCGCCTTCCGTTCTTCCGTTCTTCTTTCTGTTCCTCCTCCCTTCCTCTCTCCTTCTTCCCTCCCTCCCTCCCTTCCTTCCTCCCTCCCTTTCTTCCTTCTTCCCTCCCTCTCTCCCTTCCTTTCTCCCTCCCCACCTTCCTTCTTCCCTCTTCCTTGCCTCCCCCCTCCCTCCCTCCCTTTCTTTAAAAGCCCTTCAGTAGATGTCCCTTTATTCTTATTGCCCAGAGTTATGTCACAGGGCCACCTCTAGTCCAAAGGAGACAGGAAAGTCAGGGAGCAAGACTGTCAGACTTGATTTACAACCGTCAGGACCAAAGGGATGTGAGGAAGTTTGCCACATTCCTTTCAGCAGCGCCCTGCCCCCACCCACAGTTAGATGACAGCATCTAACTCCTACCCAGCCCTAGTATCTGCACCCTAGGCGCCAGGTCCAGCCAGAATGCCTCATTACATTTAGACAGAAAAAAGAAAAGGCGTTTATTAAAGTGCTGTGTTATCTCTGGGGGCGGCAGCAGGGGTGACTTATTTTCTTCCTGATGATATTTGAAAGCAGGCTGCTGTGTATAGAACACCCTCCTCAGATCAGTGCCCCTGCCCGGAGGGAGCCCTTTCTCAGTGGATTCTGCCAGCCGATGCAGAGCAAGGCGTGGCTCCTGGAGCCAGGAGAGGAGTCCCCACCCACACTCCAAGCATGTTGTATGAGCTCCCATTCCTCTGGGGTTCAGGTTCCCTGTACCAGATTCTAGGGACCCCATAGTAGGCCCCTGTGGGGTCCGTCCTTGTCTGTTTCCTCAGTAGCTCCTGGCAGTTCAACTCCCTTTGCAGGTTTCCACCTGGCCTCCCACTAATGAACTTGGAAGGGATGTGGATGTGAGCACGTGGTCCGTCATAAGGCCCTTCCGAGATGCCCACGTGTGTGTGCCTGTCGCACTGCCGGTCACCACTCTCTTCCACAGGTGTTTCACAAGGGAAGGAGCAAGAACACTGCGGTCAAGGACCTGACGATGAATCTGTACAGGGGGCAGATCACAGTTCTCCTGGGACAGAACGGAGCAGGGAAGACCACCACCTGCTGCATGCTCGCAGGTATGTGTGCAGCCAGCCGTCTGCGGGGGCTCCGAGGAGTCATTGAACAGGTCTCGATGCTCAGCTCCATCCCCCCATGCGATTTCACTGACATTTTGGTAGTAAGCTTTTTTGTTGGTTTTTTTTTTTTAACCACCTGTGTAGTGTCTAAGAGCCCTGGTGGCACAATGATTAAGTGCTCAACTGCTAACCAAAAGATTGGCTGTTCAAATCCATCAGCGGCTCCACAGGAGACAATACCTGATGACCAGCTCCCATTAAGAAAACACTATGGGGAGTTCTCCTGTGGTGCAGGCGATTGCTTCTAGAGACCTTTCTTGCCGGGTCTGTAACTCCCACCAAATGGTTGGACGGGGCTATGCAAACAATGTGCTTGTGGCCCACCAAGGGGATTGGACAGCTTGCCAATAATGCAAATAAGGTGCATGGCACCCTTGTGGGGGGTGGGACCATACAAATAAGGTCTGTGGAACCCTAACAAGGGGATTGGCCAGTTTTGCCATCCTGCTAGGCTTAAAATGAACCATCCCAGAGGTGGGAAGGGGGGGACTTGACTACCACCAAGAAGAAGAGCTAGGAGTGGAGCGAGTCCTTTGGACCAGGGATCCCTGCGCTGAGAACCTCCTAGACCCAGGAAACAGAGAGAGAGAGAGAGAGAGAGCAGTCACACTGGAGACGTCGAGAGATGACAAGAAGCAGTGGCAGAGAAACAGTGACAGCAGAGACAGCAGAACCAGGAAGCTGGCAGGACACGGTGCAGTGGGCTTCTCGGCCCAATGAACTGCCCACAGAACAGGAGAGCTGAGCGCCTTCGGGCAGAGGCTTACTGGCAGGGTGGTGTGCCTCTGGGCACTTATCAGCAGAGCTTAAAGAGCTTTACAACACTTGCCAGAGGCCAGGGGGCCAGAGAAAGGCGTGCCTGCGGCACAGCTGAAAAAAAGCTGTCCTGATCAAAGAACTGTATCCTGAGCAGTCCTGAACCTGAATTGTAACTTGTTACTTCCCTAATAAACCGAGTAACTGTGAATATGGTCTGTGAGGTCTGTGTGGCCCTTGCAATGAACTATCAAACCCAGCAGAGAAGTAGAGAGAGCCGTGGGAGGGGCAGCTGGTGTCAGAACTGGTAAAAAGATCAGAGAGAAGAGGCATGTCTGACCTCCGCTTCATAGGAATCAGCCTTGGGCTGTTAATCTTGACTCTCCTTGCCCCTTGTGAAGTTAGAGGAGGTCAGATGCTGCCCCACAACACTTTACGTCTGTCCTGTCACATGGGGTCGCTATGCGTCGGAGTCGACCGGACACGCCCAACAACAACAACAGTGTGGCATCTGGTCGTTCAGTGGACCGCGTGCCAGGAGAAGGGTCGTCAGCTCTTCCAGTAAATCTGAGGAACTTAATTTCATATGCTCAGGGCATCTGACAAGCACTGTTGAGAAGCCGTGGACGGTACTCACGTGTTTCTTCCCAGATAGAACCTCCCAGTGACAGTGAGGCAGCAAGACAAGACACCCAACCTGTTTGCTTTTGGTTGCCAGAGGCACTTTTAGGATGCTGGCTAGTCAATTGCTCTAAAAAGATTTGAGATTCAGAAGAATTTTTATGCCTAAATAATTCTCTCCCATACCATGGGCTAAAATAATGATCTGTGGAATCTGAAAACTCGTTAGTTCAAGAAACATGTGTTTACTGAAGGCTTAACATGTGTAAAAGGAGTCCTTGCTGCTAACCGAAAGGTTGGCAGTTTGAACCCACCAGTAGTTCTGTGGGAGAAAAGACCAGGCACTCTGCTCCCGCAAAGATTACAGCCTAGAAACTCCCATGAGGCAGTTGTACTCTGTCGTATACCGTTGCCGTGAGCTGGACACCCAGCAACAACAAATGTGTAAAGCTTGGCACAGGCGGACGCATTTCCAACCCGCAAGGGGCTCCAGACACCAACCAGTGCTTCCTGTCTGCACGCAGAACACCCATCTCCAGGGCCCTCAAAATCAGCTTGTCCCAACTCTCCTCGTGGCTTGTGGGTGCACTTTCCAGCAAGCGCATCTGAAGAGCAGCAAAGGAGTGAAGCTGGGTCCCAGGTGCCTTGGCTGTCCCTGTACTGCCGGGACCGTAAAAGTCAGGTCTTGGCTCAGCAGATGCGCGCTAGATGGGCTCGTCTGGGTCAGAACTTGGGACTGAGCACGCCTGTCTCCTAGTCTGGAGCCCAGTAGTGTCTCTGGGGCATGGTCCTCTCAGGCACAGGCCTTGCTACTCCTGGCAGTGACTGTGGCCGCTTAGGGAAGGCCTTCCCTCCTAAGTAAACTTGTGAGGGCCTCCCTGCCTGAAGGGTGGTCCAGCTAGACCCCCGGGCCAAGCAGTCAAGGAGGCAGGTCAGATACTAGCATTGTTGAAGGAGGTTACCTGTTGCAGACGCCCACATATGCTGTGGTCTGTGTGAGAATGGGCAGGTGAGCCCGTGGGTGCCCTACACCCCTGTTCTGCTCTGACTGACAGTGACTCTGGGACGTGTCTTCGCTGGTTCTAGGTCTCCTCCCCATTTCAAGTGGACAGGTTTATATCAATGGCTATGAAATTTCAGAAGACGTGGTTCAAGTTCGGAAGAGCTTCGGCTGGTGCCCCCAGCATGACATCCTGTTTTATGAACTGACGGTCGCAGAGCACCTTTATTTCTTTGCTCAGGTGAGTCGGTGGGGGCAAGGGTTTGGCCTGCAGCTCTCTGCCTCAACCTTGGAGGGTCTCGAAACCTCCTCTGGACATCATTCTCTGAGCATTCTGGGTGGGGTGGAGGGCAGGAGTGGCATTCAGGTCAAGACTCCTGAGTTAGTTTCTAAAACTATAAATTCTAGGTGTTTATTACATACTTTTATTGCCATGAAATGTGTTCTAAAGTGTCCAGTCCAGTGGTTTTAGTGTATTCTCAGTGCCGTGCAGCCGTCATCGCTACCTAAATCCAGAACCTTTTCATTGCCCCAGAGAAGGTCCTACCCATTAAGAAGTCCTCCCCATTCCTCAAAGCCCTGGTGGCCCGGTGGTCGAGAGCTTGGCTGCTGACCAAAAGGTCGGCAGTTCGACTCCACCAGCCACTCCTTGGAAACCCTGTGGGGCAGTTGTACTCTGTTCTGTGGACTATGAGTCAGAACTGACTTGACGGCAATGGGGTTTTTTGTTACTTTTAATAAGTCATATGTTTACGTGCTTCAAAATACAAAAACCTTTTTGTGGATCCCTTTCCCTGAAGGTTGTAAGTTTCTTATCTCTATTTTTTGTATATACAAGCATAATGCTTGTGTGAGGGGGCCAGCGTCTGTCAGAGCCCTGAGCTGAGGCTCCTGTGGTCCCCACCATTGCAGCTGAAAGGACTGTCGCTCCGGAAGTGCCGGGAGGAAGTCCGGCAGATGCTGCACACCCTCCACCTGGAGGACAAGCGGGACTCCCCGAGCAAGTTCCTGAGCGGGGGCATGAGGCGCAAGCTGTCCATCGGCATTGCCCTCATCGCGGGCTCCAAGGTGTGGGGTCCCCCACGCGCGGACAGGCCCGTTCCCCGTGACCAGCCCCCTCAGCGCCACAGGAGGGAAACCCGGCATGGGCGGTCCGACCTCGTCTTCGTGGACCTGGACTCGGGCCCCCCGGGGCGGCCAGGCTGGGCCCGCCAGGACCCTGCCTGCGTCACAAGGCTGCCCTGTGCCCTCAGGTGCTGCTGCTGGATGAGCCCACCTCGGGCATGGACACCATCTCCCGGAGAGCCATCTGGGACCTGCTCCAGCAGCAGAAGAGTGAGCGCACCATCCTGCTGACCACCCACTTCATGGATGAGGCCGACCTGCTGGGGGACCGCATCGCCATCATGGCCAAGGGGGAGCTGCAGTGCTGTGGGTCATCGCTCTTCCTCAAGCAGAAATACGGTGAGCGTGCGCGGGCCAGCCGTGGAGAGGGTGTGTGAGAAGGGCGCAGGAATGAAGGGAAAAGACTCTCAGAGACTTGGAGTCAGAAGACCTGTGTTTGAGTCCCCACTCTGCCAGCTCAGTGCCTGGCAGCCCATTGGCCCAGGTAGCTTATCCTTTCTTAGTCTGGGTGTCTGACCTGTGAAATGGAGATTAAAATGCCATGTTCCTGTAGGAGTGAGCTCATGTGTGGGGTTGTTCCTTCTAAACCAGGTTGTCACCCTCCCGCAGCCCCCTTTCAGGCACCCTCCCTCCCCTTTCTCTCCAGGAGCCTGCAGCTCTCCCTTCCTCTCATCTGTCTCCGGCAGCCCCTCCACCTCACTCCGACCTCTGCCCCTGGAAGTGCCTCCAATGCTTCTCTTTTCTCTCTGCTGACTTACCTCATGCTTTAAATAACCTCTCTGAGCTGAAAACGTGCGCACCTCACCTGGGCCTCTCTCCTGAATGCCATATTCATGCACACCACTGCCCGTCCACATCTCCACAGAGGGATGCACAGGCCTCTCAGACGCAGCCACAGCCTGGGCCCCTGAGCTCTGTCCCCTACGCCCGCCCCCGGCTGGCTTCCTCCTCTCCACACCTGCAGCCTCGCCAGTCCTTCCAGGGAGGGGCTCAGCCAAACCTTGACGGCCCCGACTCGTTACCCTCCCAGCCCAATAGCTGATCCATCTGCAAACGCTGTGGCCTTTCCTTCCAGATATATGCCGGATCTGTCCGTTCCTCACTGCCTCTGACCGCTTGCTGGAGCCTGGCCCAGGCCGCCATCTTTCCACCTCCGAGCCGATGGCCCTGCCTCTTTCTTGCACATCCTCACTGTGTTCTCAGCCCCACTGTCAGACGAGCCTGTCACCCAGACTCTCCAGCACTCCCCGTCTCACTCGGTGGCCTGGCTTTGTCACCCCAACCCTGGCCTAAGACTGTCCTGCCTCCTGGCTTGGCTACTGCCCACCGGACCCGTGGCCGAGCCAGCACTGTGGTCCAAACGCTCCCACATCGGCCGGCGCAGTGCTGGCTCTTCCCCAGGTCCCCGTCAGATGCCTTCAGCTCATTCTCTACCTTGTCAGTGAGGCCTTCCCCCCGCACCCTGTTTGAACCGCCCCCCTGCATGCCCTCCCCCCATTTATTTTCCTCTTTAGACCTTCCCGTTATTTACAACCAGTCACATTAGTCAGCTCTGACTCATGGTGATCCCACATGTGTCAGTGTAGAACTGTGTTTCACAGGGTTTTCAATGGCTGAGTTTTCAGAGGTAGAGCACCAGGTCTTCCTTCCACGTGTCTCTGGGTGGACTTGAACCTCCCACCTTTGGGTTAGCAGCCGAGCGCAGTTAACCATCTGCACCGCCCAGGGACTCCTCTCACTCTGGAATATTCTGTAAATTGTATTCACTTACCTCGTTTGTTGTCTGTCCCCCACCCTGGGTGAGAGCAGGGGGTTTCGACTGTTTTGTCTGCTGCCATGTCCTCGGTACCTGGAGCAGTGCCCACCACATCCCAGGGTGTCAGAAAGCATTTGCTGAGTGAGTAAATCACCAGTATAATAGTAACTGTGTTATTAACTTCTGAAAGAATATTTAGAATGCCGTAAGGTATGTATCCTCAAAAACACAGTTTAATGGTTGTACAGATATCTTCACTCTTTACCTTTGCTTTCAAGGCCTCTGTCTAACTAGTCTGCACTGCCTGAGTTAGTCATCCCTGAAAGAGAGTTCCCTCCCTGCAGCTCTTCGTTTCGCCCAGCACTGCTAAACTCGCCATTCGGTTCCCACCGAGTCATTCTGACTCAGAGTGACCCTGTAGGACAGAGTAGAACTGCCCCATAGGGTTTCCAAGGCTGTAATCTTTACAGTAGTAGACTGCCATGTCTTTCTCCCTTGGAGCAGCTGGTGGGTTCGAACCACTGACCTTTTGGTTAGCAGCTGAGCGCTTAACTACTGTGCCACCAGAGCTCCTTAAACTCTCCATGTCCACCTCCAGTTATGGAGCAGAAGGCCAGACTCCGGAGAACAGCACAGAGGAGCTTCCAGGCGAGCTTTGTGGATTAAACGTAGCCCCACGGGGCTCTCCAGCTTTCCTTTCCCTGGAGCTGTCCTAGTCCAAGCTGCAGGAAGCCAAGTGTGGCCAGAGAAGAGAAGCGTCGCCAGCAAAGAGGTCTCAGGGTCTTTACCTGCTGTTTCAGGTGCAGGATATTACATGACTTTAGTGAGAAAGCCTCAGTGTGACACAGAGGAGATCGCTCGTCTGATTTACCACCACATCCCCAATGCAGTGCTGGAGGGCAGCATCGGAGAGGAGCTAACATTCATCCTTCCGAAAGCGAGCATACACAGGTACGGCCGAGAGGGCTGACGGAATGGTTCAGCACTGTCTCTCCTGCTTCCCATCCTTGGCAAGGGCACCTCCAGGCCTTTGGCGTTGCCGTTCCCTGGAAAGACACGACACCACAGCCAGAGAGAGCTTTGGATTCTATCATGTCAGCTCCCTCCTGAAAAGCCATCAATGGCTCCCAGTTGCCCTCAGGTTCAAGTCTGAGTTTTTCAAGGGCTTACAGGGCCCCTTTATGGTGTGAACTGTAGTTACCTGCACCTACATTACTGAGCTCAGATGAAGACTTTACTTGACTTTTCTTTACATTAATTAGTTCAGACCTGAAACAGGCTTACAACACTTCCCTCTCTGCCTCTCCGCAGTCCCCCGTGTCACTCTCAGATGGAAATCTTACCATATACCTCACCGAGAAAGTCTAAACCATCAGACGGAACCGTGCTACATCCCTATTGCAAACCTCCAACCCTACTCGCTTCTGCACTCCTTCTTGTCTTTCTTCCATCTTGTTACAGCTAAGAAAGTGCTTCTCCTGTCTAAATACTGTCCTTTGCACTGGCTCAGATCCCACCCACCGCAGCTTCTCAAGAGTCACTTGTTTGCGTCTCCCCTCTCTCATCTACACCCTCAGTTTTTCTTTCTGCTGGGCCATCTCCTTTAACACACTGGCATACTCTGGAGAAGCAGCTTCTTGAGCCTACCTCTCTTTCCAGCTTGGAAAAGGTTCTCAAAGTTCTCAGACTGTGTTCTGGAAAGTGCCCCACGCCGCAGAGCTGGGACAAATATGGGTGTCTCCTTGGCATTCCCTCTCTGTCAAGAGTCACGATCCTGGACGATCTGGTATTTAATATCTGACATGGCTTCAGATATTTGTGTCCAGTTTCATACTTGTTTACAGTGGGAGGGCATGTCCTGTGTCAGTTAAGCCATCATGGCTAGAAGCAGAAGTGAACCCTGGTTCTTGTTTTGTGTTCAGTTTTTGATTAGATGGTGTGTGTGTGCGTGTGCGCACATGTGCTGTTTGCCATTCAGAAATTTAAAATCAATCAATCCATTCTTTTATACTTTTTGGTCTTGGTGTCATTCCTATAAAAACCTTTCTCACTCTAGATTATAAAAATTTTCTGTGGTACGTTTTATAGTATTTTATGCTTTAATTTTTGATATGAAAAAAATTTAAATCATCTGAAATTTCTTTTGTCTTGAGATTGTTTAATCATGTTGAAAAAGTATCTATCAATTACCATTCTAACTTTAAAAAATGGCAATGGATGTAGAATTTTAGCAAATGTATTTTTCTCATTTATGTGGATGATTACATGGTATTTCTTTTTGACATACTAATGTGGTAAATTACGGGAGAAAGATGTGGCGGTCTGCTTCCATAAAAACTACAGCTTTAGAAACCCTATAGGGCAGTTCTACTCTGTCCTATAGAGTCACTATGAGTCAGAATCGACTTGATGGCAACGGGATTGGATTGGATTGAATATGGTAAATTATATTAATTAATCCTCCTATCAAACAGTCCTTTCAACATGGTATATTACTCTTTCAATGAACTGCTAGATTATAATTAAGCTAGATTATTAAAAAGAAGTGGGGAGTTTTTTTTTTTTAATATTCTCTTCTCTCTACAAGAATTGAAATAACATCCAAATTCTCTTTTCCTTAAATATTTGATAAAAATTACTCAATTTATAAAAACCTTCCAGTACTTGTTAACTTTAATAAAATTATTTTCTACATGATCATCTATTTCATTCAGGTTTTCTAATACATTTGCTTACAATTTTGCAAACGTTGCCTTTTCATTCTTCTGCGTCCGTGGTCTTTTCTCAGCTGAGTTCTAATTCCTGTATTTGTGCTTTCTCTCCATTCCTCCGGAGGGGGCTGCTCCTTCCCGTCTTGTCTGCATCGTCCCCCCCACTGCGGAGCCTCAGAGTTGAGGTGTGCCTCAGGGTTGATCATAGGTCCTGCTCCCTTCTTTCTTGCACCCTCTTCCTTCGTGACCTCATCTCTCCCTGTGACTTTAAACCCCTCGGCAAGCTGATGAGCCCCGGGTGCCCCCCTCAAGCTCTAGACTCGGGTGTGTGCAGCTGCCTTCTGGGTCCCCTCTGGGCATCTCACAGGCACTTCAGATGTAAAGCGCTGAAAACTGACCTTCTCATAATGGCCCCTTTCAAACCTGCTTGTCTCCCAGCCTCCGCACCACCCCTAGTGAGTAGCCAGAGCTGCAGCAGTAGGACCAGCAAGGAGCAAACCTGTTCAAGGAAGCTGAGGGAGAAGTGTTTCAAGAAGGAAGAAATGGGTTAACTACATAATTGACATCACAAGGTTGTGTACAGTCAGGATAGAAGTTATCTCTGTTTTAGGTCTTAGGCTGAATAGCGGGTTTACCAGGCTCATCTTATTACACTTTAGAGCCTACATATACGTAACACGTGTTTACTTGTAGATACAAAGTGTTGTTGTTAGTTGCCCTCAGGTCGATTCTGACTCCTGACAACCAGCATGTGCAGAGGAGAAGTGCCCCACAGGGTTTCCAAGGGTGAGGCCTTTGGAGGAGCCCTGCTGGTGCAGAGATCAAGAGCCTGGCTGCTAACCAATAAACAGGTCAGCGGTTTGAATCCACCAGCCGCTCCTCAGAAACCCCGTGGGCCAGTTCTACTCTGTCGTATAGGGTCGCTAGGAGTCGGAATCGACTCGACGGCAAGTTTGGTTTTTTTTTTTTTTTTGGTTTCGGAAGCAGATCGTCAGGCCTGTCTTTGAGGCGCCTCTGGGTGGATTCAAACCGCCAGCCCTTTGGCTAGTAGTCGAGCACTTAACTATTTACACCACTCAGTAATTCCAGGTACAAAATAGTACTTAATAAATTGTTAAAATAAATAAAGGAGGTGTGACTACTGCGTTTGGTAAGATGGAGGCCGGCGATGATCTTGTAAAGAGCAGTGTGGACTGAAGGGTGTGAGTCAAAGGGAAACGCATGGGAGGCAAAGAGGAGGAGGCAGCATGCTGAGACCACTGTTAGTGAAGCGGGGCTGGGCTCTGGGTTCTGAGAATAGCCTCCACTGAAGAAGATTGTAACAGATTTTCTAATGTCACAAGAAAAGCCACGATTCAGTCAGTTCAAAAAAAACGGAAGCAGGAAGGAGGAAAGGCTCAAGGTTCTCAGACTGTTAAGAATTCACTTCTTTCTTCATTTGCATAACCGTTCAAAGCACTGCTTTGGAGATGGACAGCCTGAGTTTTTCCTGGCTCGGCTGTGTCACCTCTCAACGCTGTCTTCAAAGCGCCGTTGAAAGGCCTGAGTTAATACACGTAAAATGGCTTCAAATGGTCCCTGACATTTAGTAAGCACTCCAAAAATAGTATTACTGTTTCTTTCTACTCAAAAGAAAAGAAATGGAAACCTTCTGAAGTAAATGCCATTACCCTCGCTGTTCAAGAGAAACCCCGGTCACAGGGTTACACAAAGTTGGGACTGGACGCCAAAGCCCGTGCGCCCTCCCCGGTGGACAGTCAAAGGAGGGGGTTCCCTTTCTGTCTTCCAGGAGCAAAACTGTGTTTTCCTCCCAGGTTTGAATCTCTCTTTTCTGACCTGGAGCGGAGGCAGGAGGAGCTGGGCATCTCCAGCTTCGGGGCCTCTGTGACGACCATGGAGGAGGTCTTCATTCGGTAAGCAAGCACAAAACTGTAGACACCAAGAAGCTCAGGGCTGGAAGGGGTCCTAGAGACCACCGTCCTTGCTGAATGGGCTTTAGCCTCTGCTGGGACTTCCAGTGATGGGGTGTTGGATCATGGGGATAATACTGAATGTCATGTCACCCACTAAGCAATGTGAGTGTCATGAAGCGGGGACACAGGCCCAAATCTTGGAAGGCCTCAACGAGGCCCTGCAGGTCAACTGGCGAGAGTGGTGTGGTAACAGGTAAGTTACTTTATCCAGTCTGGCAATATGTGTCTTTTAACTGAAGCAAGTAGTCCATTAAGAGATGTTATTTGTGATACATTCAAATTTGTGTCTATCATTTTATTTTATATTTTCTACTAGAGTTTTCATGGGCTGGTTTTTGGAAGTAGATAGCCAGGCCTTTCTTCCTAGACCATCTTAGTCTGGAAGCTCTGCTGAAACCTGTTCGGCATCACTCAGTCCACATCTGAGACCTTGCGAGCCCGTATAGACTGTTCTAAGTGTGGCAGTGCCTTTTTCCCTCTTTATTCTTGCCCTAACTTTTTTTTCTTTAAATTTTATATGATTTGACCTTCATTCTTTAAATCCAAGTGAAATGAAATGTTTTGTGATTTTGAGAATTTGTATTTGTTTTTGTTTTTTGTTTGACTCAGGGTTAATAAATTGGTAGAATGCAATACAGATACCCAAGTCAGCAAGTTCTCAATAAATTCCCCGACACTGGTTAACAGAGTTCCTGTTGACGAAATTAAACGTCTTCATTCAAGGATTTTCTCAGTGCAAACGGGCCTGCCGATTGAGCAGAACACCGGGGTAAGCAGTTTACACCAAATGCATGCGAGGAAACAGAGTGTGGTTAATTCTTGGAATCCTGCTGTCGTTCCCTCAAGAAGTATGTGTATCAGCCTTTTACAGGGCCTAAGGAAAGTGTGCATGTTTCACATGTAAAAGGCTGGCTCTGCCAGATGTAAGTAATACCGTGCTCCCTGCTCTTGTCCAAGGAAAAACGCTGCTATTTTCTGACCAGGATTAACCTAATGGAAGAAGGTATCAGAAGAGCTGCTGGTAAAGATCTTGGTCATTCTTCTCACCAGTAAGAAGAAAGAATAAAAACACTAAATCTATTAGCCAAGAAACACATTTAATCTTTCACTGAGAAACAGATCATGTATTGTACAAACTGGAATGTAAAATTTACAAATATATCATATGAGACATATGGACAACCTGTAGTATTCTTTTAATGTTGAAGAAAGAATATTGAAGTGTGTTTTAGAAAGTGGTCTTTTTTTAAAAAACATTATTTTATTCATTTCGTTGTTGTTGAAAATATACCCAGCAAAACATACACCAATTCAAGCTTCTACATGTACCATGTAGTGACATTGATTATGTTCTTTGATTTGTATAACGATTCTCATCTTCCTTTTCTGAGTTGTTCCTCCCCATTAACATAAATTCACTGCCCCCTTAATTTCCTATCTAATCTTTCAGGTTGCTGTTATCACTTTGATCCCATATAGACAGTTCTCATAATGCTCAAGGCAGGTATTTTTTACTCATTAAACTAAACTATTGTTTGATTTTGAAAAGACTTCAGGGGATATTTTTGGTTTAAGGTTTAAAGATTATCTCAGGGCAATAGTTCGGGGGGTTCATCCAAACTTCATGGCTCCAGGAAATCTGGAGTCCATGAGAATTTTAAATTCTGTTCTGCGTTTTCCCTCTTTTGATCAGGATTCTTCTATGGAATCTTTGAACAAAATGTTCAGTAATGGTAGGCAGGAACCAGCCAGTTCTTCTGGTCTCTTGGCAAAGGAGGCAGTTGTTCATGGAGGCAGTTAGCCACACGTTCTGTATCTTCCCCCTATTCCTGACTCTCTTTCTTCCTCTGTTGTTCCAGGCAAATGTAGACCAATTGTTGTGCCTTGGATGGCTGCTTACAAGCTTTTAAGACCCCATTATAAAGGGGTCGTTTTAGCTACCCATAAGGTATTACTGTAAAATGATGAGACTGATTTTCATGAATTAGTGAAAAGATTGATTTCATTGCTTCATAATTTTGAATCAAATACATGAAAGGGGGAAGCTGTGGAGTTGGGAAGGGTCTTGGGGTTGTCTAGCCCATCTTCTGTCCTGTACAGACAGGAGCCTCTTCTCCATCCCCCAGCAAGTGGTTATCCAGACTCCACTTGGCCAGGCTTGGCTTTGGAGACAGCTCCAACCAAGTCTTTGCGGGAAGTATTTCTCAGTGTACGACCTCAAGCAGGAGCCTTTCAACAAACGCCAGCAGTGGATATAGCCTACCTCATGTTGAACACAAGGCACTTGGGGTGTTTTGTAGAGAATTTCAGGCATCTGACGGTGTTCTGGCCAAGAACTTAGAAGTGCCTGACTCATACCTGCCCACCAGGCCTCCTCCCAAGAGGAAAGAGTGGTGCAGAAGACACTGAGGCTGAGGCTCAAAGGCCTCCTGCCCACCCCTAGCTCCGCAGGGCCCCAGAGCAGCAAAGTGGAAGCGCCCAACACTACCCTCTAGGGTCTCCCTCCCCCATCAGGCCTGCTCTGTCGGGATGACAGTGTGCATGCCTGTGCACTTCTGTGCACTTTGACCTTTCCTGGCAGTGAGGTGGGCCGTCTTTGTGCACGGGCCTTGCATATTTATACAGGTGTGTCCGTAGGGTGCGTTACTAGGAGTGGAAGTTCTAGGTTAAGGACTATGGGCATATTAAATTTATTCATCCAGCCAATTTGTTTTCTAAAAAAAAAAAGAAAAATCAAGACCACCAACAGTGGCATTTTCCCCACATCCTCATCAACTTTAAATTTTTGCCAGTCTGGTAGGTAGAAAAAAATTGTGTCTTATTTACATTTGGTACCTGTCCAGGCTGCTCTTCCAGACTCTTCCCACTCTGTGTCTTCTCTTTCCTCCACTCGACCCCAGTCAAATCATAAGTCCAAAGAATTTTCACTGGAAGCAAATTTCCAGCCTAATGGACAAGCTCTGTTAGCTATCATATGAGGGAATACCTGACATCAGGAGCACCTGACGGTCTGCCAGTCTCTGTCTGTGACCATATTAATTCTGTGACTCCCTTGTTTTCATTGTAGTTCCATCTTTTCTGCCAACAATTCTATGCCATGCTCCTGAAAAGGATGCTGTATTCTTGGCGCAACTGGACGATGATGCTCTCAGCACAGATCCTGGTGCCTCTGGTGGTGGTTATCTTCAGCCTCATGTCATTCAACCTCAGGGCACTAAGCACGGAGAATGTCCCACTGGAGCTGACTCTGAAAGCACATGGCCAAACTGTTGTTCCATTCTTTATCTCTCAGAATTCCAGCCTGGGCTCACGCCTTTCAGAACGCTTTGCAGATATGCTGGAGGCTGAGTTACAGATCCCTCTGGAGGTCTCAGGTAAGTGCCAGGCACAGGAGGAGAACAGCCGCGAGGCCCCTACTGCTGGGCTCTGCCGTGAGGCCTTATCCTTTTGCGTGACCCTGTCTGAGGTCAGAGTGGGTAGCCAGAGAGAGACGGTCTCAGAAAACATCTTTCAAACAAACTCCAGCACGACAGCAAAGTGACACCTTCTGGAGATGAGGTCATGTGTGTGTTTCTAGGGATGAAAGGACAACCAAAAACGAAACTGATAAACAACCCGATGTTTTTGAATTTACTGAGGAAATTGGCGCTTCCGTCAGGGAGTGATGGATATTAGAAAACTAAGGAGCCCTGGTGACGGAACAGTTAAGAGCTTGGTTGCTAACTGCAAAGTCTGTGGTTCTCCCAGCGGCTCCATGGGAGAAAAGACCTGGCGATCTGCTCCCGTAAAGATTACAGCCTAGGAAACCACGGGGCAGTTCTGCTCTGTCGCACAGGGTTGCTGTGAGTCACAATCGACTCGATGGCCCCCAACAACATTAGAAAATTAAGTGCATGAGAAAATGAGGAAAGTATTACCTCCAGAGGGAAAAGTTGTGTAAACAAGGCATAATCATAATATGCTACATGGTACAGCTGTGAATAGTTTTTCCTTAGTCATAGTAATGTCAAACCTGACTATCAAGGTCTTAGTCATCTAGTGCTGCTGTAACAAAACACCACACGTGGATGGCTTTAACAAAGAGAAATGTATGCTGTCACAGACTAGGAGGCTAGAAATCCGAATTCAGGGTTCCAGCTCCAGGGAAAGACTTTCCCTGTTGGCTTTGGGAGAAGGTCCTTGTCATCAATCTTCCCCTGTTGAGGAGCTTCTCAGCGCAGGGACCCCAGGACCAAAGGACGCACTCTTCTCCTGGTTCTCGTTTCTTGGTGGTATGAGGTCCCCCATGTCTCTCTGATCGCTTCTCTCTTTTATGTCTCAAAAGAGATTGGCTTAAAATACAATCTAATCTTATAGATTGAATCCTGCCTCATTAACATAACTGCCACTAATCCCATCTCATTGACATCATAGAGATAGGATTTACAATACATAGGAAAATCACATCAGATGACAAAATGGTGGACAGTCACACAATACTGGGAATCATGGCCTAGCCAAAGTGATACACATATTTTTTGGGGAGACAACTCAATCCATGATAACTGACTTCACCAAAATGATGCTTTAACTCCAGTGGGAGGAAAGGGAGGGGATGGCTGTAGGAGAGCAAGGTCCTCGCCTCCATAGCAGGACGTCAGTGGATAGTTCCTGGAGCTGAAGACCCAGGAGCAGGTGATTTAAACGTGTCCTTTACAAATACAAGATGCAGCAGCCGGGGGATTGCAAAGCAGTCCTCTTTGGTGAGCACGCCCTGGGCATGGCGAAGGGCAGGGCGGGAGACGCCTGTTTTCACTATAAGTCATATGTCACTATTTGATTTTAAAACTTGTATCTGTGTATTATTTTGATTAAAAATAAAAAAAGTAATTACGTTTTTAAAAAGCTAAAGTAAGGAGGCCAAACGCAGAATGTGATGTAGCAAAATGGCTGGGACGAGGGATCACAATGGCCACCTCTCTGAGGCTCGGTTCTTCATACGCGAGACAGGGAGACTGATGACCCGGCCTGTCCACGGTGTGGGGAGAAGGATGTGACAGAGTGCCTGTCCAGCACTTTGCGCAGTCCGCACTGAGGGAGCATTCAGCCAAGGGTGCTATTTCATTACTGTTGTTAAGACCAGAGCTCTAAGTGGGTCGTACATTCATGGCACTGTGTGCTGGGAATTCAGTGATGAGCGAGCTCAGTACCAGCCCTCAGGGATCGGAAAGTCTGGCAGTCTCCTGGATAAATAATAGATCATCTCCGTGCAAAGGGATCATGACTGTGATTGGAGTACTACGGGATTACATAGGTGTGTCTCAGACCTGGGGGGTCAGAGGGACCTGGGGGGTCAGAGGAGGCTTCCGGAGTAAGTGCTGTCAAGGCGCAAAGTCTGTGTGGGACTTGACCAATGGAAGGGGCAGGTAAACAGCAGAACATCCCAAGCAGCGAGCGTTTTTGAGGTTTGGGGTATGGTGAGTCCTCAGGCGTGGCTGGAGTTTGTGTCACTGTGCTCGGTGAGACAGGGTCAGGGCCGGTGCAGAGCTCCCTCTGGTCCTCCCTGTGCGTTGTCAGCAGCTGTTCTGCTCTTCCAGGTCCCCTGGAAGAGTTCCTGCTGCGCAAGGCAGAGGAGGAACCCGAGGGCTTCAACACCCGCTACGTTGTGGCGGCTTCCATTGAAGACACCAAAGGCCGCACCATCGTGACCGCTTTGTTCAACAACCAGGCCTACCACTCCCCAGCCCTGGCTGTGGCTCTGGTGGACAATTTTCTATTCAAGCTGCTGTCTGGTGCCAAGGCTTCCATTACTGCAACGAACCACCCTCAGCCGCAGACTGCCGCGGAGGTCTCCGAGGACATCATGTACCAGTACGTGCCTTCCCTTCTTACCTCCTGCTGGTCTGTGTCCTCTTTTCATTGCACATTGCCCTTTTGGGAGATGGTGGCTGTGAGTGGTCCTACTGAAACTGCTGCCTCTCTCCTGTGCTGTCTCTTGCAGGGGCCTCAAAGCACATTACCTTGTTATCAACTTGCTCTTTGGAATGGCTTTCCTGTCTAGCTCGTTTTCCATCTTGACAGTCAAGGAGAACTCCAGCAAGGCCAAGCACGTCCAGTTTGTCAGTGGCGTCCACGTGGCCACCTTCTGGCTCTCCGCCCTGCTGTGGGATCTCATCTCCTTCCTGGTCCCCAGCCTGCTGCTGCTGGTGAGCGTGGCGGGGGGGGGCCCTTCCCATGCAGGCCACCTGGGCCCCAGGCTGCTGGTGAGCGTGGCTGGGAGCCCTTCCCCTGCAGGCCACCTGGTCTCTAGCCTGTTGGTGAGCGCAGCTGGGAGCGCTCTTCCCCTGCAGGCCGCCTGGTCCCTAGCCTGTTGGTGAGCACTGCGGGAGCCCTTCCCCTGCAGGCTGCCTGGGCCCTAGCCTGTCGGTGAGCAGGGCGGGGGCCCTTCCCCTGCAGGCTGCCTGGGCCCCAGCCTGCTGCTGCTGGTGAGCACGGTGGGCGGAGGGGGGGCCCTTCCCCTGCAGGCGAGGGGCTGGCCTGGAGCACCGCCCACAGTCTGAGCTGGCAGGAGTCTAGGCTGGCAGCCTCAGCCCTGATTTGGGGGTCCCTGGTGTGACGCACCTTCCTCATTGCCCCTCGGTAAAGTATGCCCTGGTTCCCGGTGCCTTCAAGAGCAGAGGGGCCTGCCCCAGGGCCTCTGCTGTATGACCTCCCCACAGCTGCTCCCCCAAGCTAGTAAGAAACTGCCTTCTTCCCAGTAAAAAAATGCCAGGGTACTGCTGAGTACTTGGTGATGATTGAATTGAGTGGCTCGTGGGTCCCTGGTTCCTTTACGCAAGACAGATCCCTTTTGTGATCGTTTTCTAAGTGTCTCTGAACCCCCTTAACTCGCTGCACTACGGCTACTGATTTCCAGGTGCAAGGCATTGGTGGCTGAAAGAACGAAGGGCGTTCGGCTGTGGAGTGTTGCCCACGCCTTGTTTTTAAAACTGAGAGTATCAGAGTCCTTCTCCAGTGCTTAGGATTGGCTCTTGGTGACTTCTCCACCCCCGTCCCTTCCTAAGGTGGTGTTTCTGTGCTACAAAGAAGAAGCTTTCACCCACAATGGAAACATCCAGGCTGTCTTCCTGACATTGATGCTCTACGGCTGGGCCATCATCCCCTTCATCTACTTGGCCAGCTTCTGCTTTACCAGCACTGGCAATGCTTTTGTTAAGCTCATCATAACACTCACCTTCCTGAGCATCGGCCCTTTCATTCTCGTCTCTGTCACAAGTGAGAAAGGTGAGGCTTGTCATAGCCATATGTCACACAGAGCTCTTTTCCCTCCAGAAGCCACAGAAGGTGTACCATGCAAACATGTGTCTACCAAACCCTCTGCAAGAATGTGCTTAGCAGCTTTAGTCTTAAGATCCCCAGACTGGAAATATCCCAAACAGCCATCTCCAGGAGAATAGGTAAACAAATCTGTTATATTCATAAAATGGATCGCTGCTCACCAATAGCAAAGGAGAGCAACCACGGGTACATGTGACAGTGTGGACAAATACAAAAAATGCAACGGTATGCAAGAGAATCGGGCACAAGAGAGCCCAAGAACAAGCAGAACTAATCTCTAGTGATGGAGTCGGAACAGTGGTGGCTTCAGGGTCTGGAGGGTGGAGAGTGACTGAAAAGGGGCGTTGGGGAGCTTTCTGGAGTGGTGGAAATGTTCTATGACTTGATTGGGGTGTTGGTTACACGGGTGTATACATTTATTAAAATTCATCAAATTGTCTACTTATTAAACATGCATTTCACTGAGATGAATAACACCTCAATAAAAGAATTAACGAGTAAATAAATAAGCCCAGGCAGTGGGGGGAGACTGCCCAGGAAGTGAACTGGGCTAAAGGAAGCCGAAGACAAGCACTCACTTGTCTGCCACACCTCAAAGCTGGCGTCTCAGTCCACGCCGCCGTGCTGTCTTCATTCAGTCTAACTCAGAGTTCTCTGGTGGCCTTTTTTTTTTTAACTTTATTTTGCGTTAGGTGAAAGTTTACAGCACAAATTAGTTTCTCATTCAAACATTTATACACAAATTGTTTTATGACTTTGGTTGCAATCCCTGCAATGTGATAGCACTCGCCCCCTTTCCACTCAGGGTTCCCCGTGTCCGCTCATCCAGTTTTCCCATCCCTTCCTGCCTTCTCATCTTACTTTTGGGCAGGAGTTGCCCGTTTGGTCTCATATATTTGATTGAACTAAAAGGCACATTCCTCACATGTGTTATTGTTTGTTTTATAGGCCTGTCTAATCTTTGGCTGAAAGGTGGACTTTGGGAGTGGCTTCAGTACTGAGTTAGCAGGGTGTCCCGGGGCTGTGGTCTCAGGGGTTCCTCCAGTCTCTGTCAGACCAGTAAGTCTGGTCTTTTTTTGTGAATTTGAATTTTGTTCTACATTTTTATCCTGCTCTGGCTGAAATTCCCCATTGTGATCCCTCCCAGAGTGTTTGGTGGCAGTAGCCGGGCACCATCTTTCTTCTGGGCTCAGGCTGGTGGAGGCTGTCGTTCATGTGGTCCATTAGTCCTTTGGGCTAATGTTTTCCTTGTGCCTTTGGTTTTCTTCATTATCCTTTGCTCCAGACAGTTTGGGACCAATAAATATATCTTAGATGGTCACTTGCAAGCTTTTAAGAATCTAGATACTACTTACCAAAGTAGGATGTAGCACATTTTCTTTATGAAGTATGTTATGTGAATTGACCTAGATGTCTCACGAGACAATGGTCCCCAGACCTCAGCCCCAGCAACTTGGTCCCTCAAGGTGTTTGGATGTGTCTCGGAAGCTGCTCTGACTTTGCCGTGATCAAGTTGTGCTGACTTCCCCTATATTGTGTGTTGTCTTTTCCTTCACCAAACTTGACACGTCTACTATCCAGTTAGTGACTTCCCCTCCCTATCTCTCTTCAGTGTGTAAACTTTTTCTTGAGTTTTTATAACAGTGGTCTCATACAATATTTGTCCTTTTGTGATTGCTTATTTCACTCACCTTAATGCCCTCCAGATTCATCCATATTGTGAGATGTTTCACAGATTCCTCATTGTTCTTTATCATTGCATAGTATTCCATTGTGTGTATGTACCATAATTTGTTTATCCATTCATCTGTTGGTGGACACTTATGTTATTTCCATCTTTTGCTATTGTGAATAATGCTGTAATGAACATGGGTCTTCATAGGTCTATTCGAGTGATGGCTCTTATTTCTCTGGGATATATTCCTAGGAGTGTGATTGCTGCTTCGTATGGTATTTTTATTTCTAGATTTTAAGTAAGCATCATATCATTTTCGATACTGGTTGTACCATTTTACATTCCCACCAGCAGTGCATAAGAGTTCCAATCACCCCAAAACCTCTCCAACATTTATTATTTTCTTTATTATTATTATTAGTGTCAGTATTGTTGGGGTGAGATGGTGTCTCATTGTAGTTTTGATTTGCATTTCTCTTATGGCTAATGATCATGAGCATTTCTTCATGTGTCTGTTAGCCACCTGAAGGTCTTCTTTGGTGAAGTGTCTGTTTATATCCTTTGTCCGTTTTTGATTGGATTATTTGTCTTTTTGTTGCTGGGGAGTTGAAGTATTTTGTAGATTTTAGAGATTAGACCCTTGTCAGATATGTCGTAGCCAAAAATTTTTCCCAGTCAGTAGGTTCTGTTTTTATTCTTTTGGAAAAGTCTTTTGATGAGCATAAGTGTTTAATTTTTAGGAGCTCCCAGTTATCAAGTTTAATTTCTGGTGTTTGTGCATTGTTAACTATGGTTTGTATTGTATTTATGTCATGTATTAAGGCCCATAGTGTTGTCCCTATTTTTCCTTCCATGATCTTTATCATTTTAGGCTTTGTATTTAGGTCTTTGATCCATTTTGAGTTAGTTTTTGTATATGGTGGGGATATTGATCCTGTTTCATTTTTTTACAAACGGACATCCAGTTATGATAGCACCGTTTGTTAGACACTATCTTTTCCCCATTTAATGGACTTTGGCCCTTTGTCAAATATCAGCTGTCCATAGATGGATGGATTTACATCTGGGTTTTCAATTCTGTTCCATGGGTCTGTGTGTCTGTTGTACCAGTACTAGGCTGTTTTGACTACCATGGCTGTATAGTAGGTTCTAAGATCAGATAGCGTGAGGCCTCCCACTTGGTTCTTCTTCTTTAGTAATGCTTTACTTATCCTGGGGCTCTTCCCTTTCCATATAAACTTGGCGAGTAGTTTCTCCATCTCATTAAAGAATGTTGTTGGAATTTTGATCAGAATTGCGTTGTGTCTATAGATGGCTTTGGGTAGTATTGACATTTTCACAATGTTGAGTCTTCGCATCCATGAGTATGGTATATTTTTCCATTTATGTAGGTCTCTTTTGGTTTCTTGCGGTAGTGTTTTGTAATTTTCTTTGTATATGTCTTTTATGTCCCTGGTTAGAGTTATTCCCAAGTAATTTATCTTTTGATGGGCTATTGTAATTGGTATTGATTTCCTTTTCCAAGTTCTCTTTGTTGGTGTAAAGGAATCAAACTGATTTCTTGTATGTTAATCTTGTATCCTGCTACTTTGCTGAAAAATTTTATTAGTTCCAGTATCTTTCTTGTGGATTCTTTGGGGTTTTCTATGTATAGGATTATATCACCTGTGAATAGGGATAGTTTTACCTCTTCCTTACCAGTTTGGATGCCCTTTATTTCTTTTTCTTGCCTTATTGCTCTAGCTAGGACTTCTAGAAGGATGTTGCATAAGGGTCTTGATAAAGGGTATCCTTGTCTAGTTCCTGTTATCAAGGAGAATGCTTTCAGTCTCTCTCCATTGAGAATAATGTTGGCTGTTAGTTTTGTATAAATGCCCTTTATTATATCGAGGAATTTCCCTTCTGTTCCTATTTTGCTGAGAATTTTCATCAGGAATGGGTTGGACTTTGTCAAATGCCTTTTCTGCTTCGATTGAGATGATCATGTGACTTTTTTCTTTTGTTCTATTTATGTGGTGGATTACGTTGATTGATTTTCTAATGTTGAACCATCCTTGCATACCTGGTATGAATCCCACATGGTCACGATGTATTATTTTTTGGTATGCTGTTGAATTCTATTGGCTAGAATTTTGTTGAGGATTTTTGCGTCTATGTTCATGAGGGATGTTGGTCTGCAGTTTTCTTTTTGTGTGGTGTCTTTACCTGGCGTTGGTGTCAGGGTTCTGCTGGCTTCATGGAGTGAATTCGGGAGTATTCCTTCCTTTTCCATGCTCTGAAATAGTTTGAGTAGTATTGGTGTGTTGTGATGGCCTTTCTATTTTTCATGCATACCACCCATGGAACTCCAGAGGAGAAAGTATCTCCTTCTGAGTGGATCCGAATCGCGGCAGCATTTTGACTTTGGGATTGAAGTCGAGCAAAAAGCACTGTGCAGGTAGAGGGGAGGGAGGCAGCAGAGGCGTGAACTGATGGAGCACACGCCAAGGTTCCCACTGTAGTGTGCGCCTGAGAGTTACTGACGGCATTCTAAGGCCCATTCGGGGTGACCCTGATACAGGTGGCCCAGGGATCCACTTTGAGAAATGCTGCCCTAGTCTACAGGGAGAACCTCCTTCAACTACCTGCTGCCCAGCCTCACCCCAAAGGGACAAGCACCAACACAGGCTAAATCCGTGAATGCTAAGAGTTCCTGACACTGAGGATCCCTGACGCCCAAGGGTGGAGCTGTTGGGGAGATTGAGGACATGAAGATGTTCTCGCCCTCAGACATTCTCTCTGGATTCCCTTAGCCTTCCTGGGATCCCTTTCTTTTTAGATTGCTTCAAGCTGTTTTTCTCTGCACAGTCCTGTGCAGCAATAAAAAGGGTCGATGCCTTCCTTCCACTAGGTAGGAAGTACCTTCCAGCTTAAAAACTAAGTGGGAAGCTGATGAGTCATAAGGGCTGGAAAGCCTGGGACAGGGCAAGGAGCCTGATCTCTGGCCTGGGGAAAGGAGGCTGATGGCTTTATGTGCTCCATCCCTACTCCCCAAGGAAGGACACTGATGGAGACTTGGGGGCCAGAGTTCCAGCTAGTAATAGAAAGTGTGCATATGCCTGGTCTTGACTTCTAAATACACTCCCTAGAGGCCTTGTTAGGATGGCTGCAGCTATGGAGGTAAACAGATAGTCAAGAATATGAACATCTGCATTCTCTTTTCCTGAGACCCCACTAAAATGATAGAAAGGGAAATTAAAATGTGTTAATCCACACAGTGCTACCACTTGTCTGTCAGGTTGTCATACTGTGGGGGCTTGTGCATTGCTGTGATATTAGAAGCCAGGCTACCAGTATTTCAAATACCAGTAGGGTCACCCTTGGTGGGCAGGTTTCAGTGGAGCTTTCAGACTCAGACAGATTAGGAAGAAAGGCCTGGCAAGCTACTTCTGAAAATTAGCCAATGAAAACCCTATGGATCACAGTGGAATACTGTCTGATACAGAGCTGGAAGATGATTCCCTAGGTTAGAACGCCCTCAAAATACACAGTGGTCTCAACAGCAAACTCCTCTGATGCATGACCCTGGGGCCTTGGAGTCTGAATCTCAGTGGGGCTGCAGAGGTCCACAGCTTCTGACTTCTGCCCCAAACTGAGTTTCATGCCCAGCAGGTAGACTCTCGCTCTGCTGCATGGTTTCTGAGTCCTGGCCCAGGAATTGTTGGTTGGGAGACCTACTGTAGATCATCAAAGTTCAGCATATCGTAGCGTATATCACAGTGAACTCAACCAATGGAAACCTCACAGATTGGTCTCCAAATGCTGTGCTGTTCAAAATCGATGCCTGAGAGTAGAGTGTGCTTTTTTATTGTTGGTTCAGCCCCTTCCCATGGCATCTGAGAATCCTATGTCCACATGCTCTCTCCCCTGAACTACCCACTGGCCTGGAGCTGGTTGTGGGTGTTGTAGGAAGTCTGGAGTTGAGCACTAACCTCCCCTTTTATTTCCCCTTTGTGTCAGTGAAGATGTGTTGGGGTTTGTGAAGGTGAGCACCTAGGGCACATGGAGCTGTTAGGGGTCAGCACAGAGCAGCCTGTGGTGGTGAGGGCTCAGTGACATTTGCACACTGTCTTGGTCATCTAGTGCTGCTGTAACAGAAATACCACAAGTGCATGGCTTTAACAGAGAGAAGTTTATTCTGTCACAGTCCGGTAGGCTACAAATCCAAATTCAGGGCGTCAGCTCCAGGGGAACGCTTTCTCTGTCAGCTCTGGAGGAAGGTCCATGTCATCAATCTTCCCTTGGTCTAGGAGCTTCTCTGCGCAGGAAGCTCAGGTCCAAAGGACACACTTTGCTGCTGGCACAGCTTTCTTGTTGGTATGAGGTTCCCATGTCTCTGTGCTCGCTTTTCTCTTTTATATCTCAGAAGAGATTGCCTTAAGACACTATCTAATCTTGTAGATCTCATTAATATAACTGCCACTAGTCCATCTTATATCATAGTGATAGAATATACAACACATAGGGAAATCACATCAGATGACAAAATGGTAGCCAATCATACAATACTGGGAATCATCACCTAGCCAAGTTGACAGATATTTTTGGGGGACACAATTCAATCCATGGCACACACCATCAATTGTTGTCCCATTGGAGCATGCCCCACAGGGCTGTAGGCATTGATTCTCTTTATCAGTTAATTATTACAAGTCATTTATTTTGTGAAGCATTTTATGTTGATTTGTTGGAAGTAAACATTTAAAGTATACCATAGTTCATTTATAACCCTTTTTAGCATTCTTTTAATACAACATGAACCTAAAAGTTGCCTTTCTTGACCTCTGAGAAGGTCATTAGCCAACTTATCAAACTCCCTTTTATTTCTAGTAGTATCTTGATTGATTCTCTTGGCTTTTCCAGGTACATGATAATACATAGCATCTTCAGATAATGATAGTTTTGTCTCCATGCACTATATAGGTAGGGACTGTGTCCTTACGGATCCATAACAACTCCACAGCTGGTATACTAGACCCTACCCTGTATGGCCAGGGCTGGATTAAGGCACATGTGGGCCCTAAACGCTGATAATCTGTGGTGCCCCCTCCTCTGCTTAGTCACAGATTTGAATGGGATATATGAGTTGTGTGTGTGTGTGTGTGTGTGTGTGTTAGCTAAATATGATATAACTTCTTTTTAAATGCGACTGTAATATTAGCAGAAACCCTGGTGGTGTAGTGGTTAAGAGCTACAGCTGCTAACCAAAAGGTTGGCAGTTCAAATCCACCAGGCACTCTGTGGAAACCCTATGGGACAGTTCTACTCTGTCCTCTAGGGACACTACAGGGTCAGTAGGAGTCTAAATGGACTCGACAGCAGTGGGTTTTGGTATATTAGCGACTGAACCCAGAAGTGGCATATGCCATTTGAGCAGAATGAGATGAACTGGATTATAAAATTTTTAGTGGATGTGAGGTACTGAGACTTTTACTATATACCACATTTTCTACAAAAAGAATATTCCATATATTCTACAACAAAGAAAATGAGTCAGTGAACTTAGTTGTTTCAACAATCAATGTAAAATCTCACAACAAAAAATTGACTTTCACCAGTTTTGCTTCAAACAGCTCATACTTCAGTTTTGATGCTTGTTTTGCAGTAAGTGCCGTAATTAAAATGAACAAATGAAAAGATGTCATAAAAGAAAATTTAATCATCAGAAAACAAATATTACAGCACATTACTATATTTTATTTTTAGGTAGATCTTTCATCTCTAATATGTTATAATTTAAAATATCTCTTTCTATTCTTTGCTTTTGCAATTTCTTCAATGATTTCATCACAATTAAGCTGCCGAACAGTATCTACTTCCATACATAATAAGGATAATAAATTTGAGTCTTTCGTGAATCATTATTGTATGCTGAGGGTTTTGAGGACAAAAATGAGTGTTCTGTAGAAAGAAATAGCATGCTCCCAAGAGACCTTCCTAGATAAGGAGTTTCAGTTACAGGAAAGGGGACCATAGGAGACAGATGTCATGAAAGTGTTGAAGTGGTAGGGGCCTCACAGCTTAAACAGCCTTGCCGGTGGGCGCCCTCGTGACCCTGCGTGAACTTCATTTCCGGCCGGCACATTCTCTCACACTGGAGCCGGGATCAGTTTCCTTTAGTGCCCTGCCAGTTCCTTTCCACTGTGGCACTCACTTTTCCTTGTGTCCTGTCCGGTTGGCATCTGTGGGTCTTTGCTTTGGACATATGGTGCCCCTGTTTTGTTGATGCCCTAAGCCCGTGCTTACCTTGCTTACTGGGTAATCTGTCCCTGTGTCTGGCTCCCAGCTCACTTGTAAACCTCATCCCCCTCCAGCCTCAAATTCACCCTCTTCATGTATGCATCCATCCATACTCCAACCACACTACTGCTGATTTTTCCAAACACACTGTGTTCTTCCTGATTCTTCTGCATAAACAATTGGAATTGGAGTAAAGTAACAGATCAAGAGGCACTTACAAAAGAAAAACACTTACGTTTGGGAGGCTGAATGACTAGGGAGGGTGGGAGAAAACAAGGCCTCAGGTAGACCAGGTGTCTGGTCTGGGGTCCTGGGAGTGTGATGGTACAGTGATGGAGACAGGATAAATAGGGGCAATGGGTCAGAAGAGATGATGGAGGACGTGCTCTTTCCTTCCTGCAGGTAAAGTTAGTATTTTCTATTCCTCTCACAGATCTGGGCTACACAACAGTCTCTGAGTCTTTGGATGATACATTCCTAGTGTTTCCAGGCCACTGCCTGGGGATGGCTTTTTCCAACTTATATTACAACTTTGGATTCCAGAAATTTTGCAATGCCAAAAACCTGAACAAGAGTGATTGCATTCAAGCTTGTGAGTATTGTAAAAGGAATTTTTAATTACATTTTTTATTAAGATATAATTCACATAACAAAATTCACACTTTTAAAGTGTACAATTCAGTGGTTTTTACTATATTCGCAAGGTTACACAACCGTCACCACTATTCTAATTCCAGAACATTTTCATTACTCCAAAAAGAAACCCTGGACCCAGTAGCAGTCACTTCCCACCCCCCTGCCCCCACCCCCTGGCAATCATTAATCTGCTTTCTGTCTCTGTGTGTTTGCCTATTCTGGATATTTCGTATAAAGGGAATCATACAATATGTGGTCTTTTATGATTGGCTTATTTCACTTAGCATAAAGTTTTCAAGGTTTATCCATGCTGTAGCATGTATAGTACTTCATTCCTTTTTATGGCTGGGTAATATCCCATTGTATGTGTATACCACATTTTATTTATCAATTCATCTGTCGATGAGTATTTGGGTTGTTTTCTACTTTTTTGTCTGTTATGAATAATGCTGCTATGAACATTTGTGTACAAATTTTTGTGTGGATGTAGGTTTTTGTTTATCTTGGGTATACACCAAGGAGTGGAATTTCTGGGTCATCTGGAAAGTTTTCTATCTTGCTGCTTTCAAGATTCTCTCTTTTTCTTTGTCTTTTCGCAGTTTGATTATGTGTCTAGATGTGGATCTCCTTGAATTTCTCCTCCTTGGATTTCATTGAGCTTCTTGATGTATAGATTAATGTTTTTCATCAAATTTGGGAAGTTTTCAGTGTTTATTTCTTCAAATATTCTTTGTCCCTTTTACGTCTCCTTCTGGGACTCTGCGGTGTGACGGATCACTTTTATATGGCCTTTCTCGTCATGGTTTTGTAACTCCCACCAAATGATTGGGTGGGACTATGCAAATAAGGTGCTTGTGGCCCACAAAGAAGATTGGATAGCTTGCTAATAATGCAAATAAGGTGCATGGCACCTTTCTGGGGGTGGGACCATGCAAATAAGGTATATGGAACCCTAAGAAGGTGACCGGTCAGTTTTGCCATCCTGCTAGGCTTAAAATGAGCCATCCTAGAGGCAGGGAGAGGGACCTCACTACTACTAAGAAAAAACAACCAGGAGTAGAGCACCTTCTTTGGAGCCAGGGTCCCTGCACTGAGAACCTCCTAGACCCAGGAGACAGAGAAAGAGCTGTAACACCAGAGACAGCACGAAACAGCAAGAAGTGATGGCAGAGAAACGGCAGCAGCAGAACCAGGAGACCAGCGCGAGACGATGTGGTGGGCTTCCTGGCCCACGGAGCAAGGTGTTTACAGTAGGCTTGCCACCCATAGAGCAAGAGAGCTGAGTGCCTTCAGACAGGAGGCTCGCTGGCAGAGTAGGGTACTTCTGGGTACTTGGCAGAGCTAGGCTCGCTGACCTACAGAGCGAGAGAGAGCTGAGCACCTTCAAGCCAAGGCTTACTGGCAGAGTGGGGTGCCTCCAGGCACTTATTGGCAGAGCTGAAGAGCTTTGTAACACTTGCCTGGGCAGGGCAGGGGCCAAGGAGCCAAGGGAGAGGCCTGCCTGCAACACAGCTGAGAAGCTATCCTGATTGAAGAACTGTATCCTGAGTCATTCCTGATCCTGAATTGTAACCTGTTACTTCCCTAATAAACCCCGTAATTGTGAGTATGGTCTATGAGTTCTGTGTGGCCATTGCAACAAATTATCAAACCCAGCAAAGAAGTAGAGAGTGTTGTGGGAAGGACAGCTGGTGTCAAAATTGGTAAAAAGGTCAGAGGGTGGAGGTATGTTTGACCTCAACCTCATAGGAATCAGCCTTGGGCTGACGATGAGGATGGTGATTCTCTTCCCCACATGAAGTCAGAGGAGGTCAGACGCCCCCACCACGCCATTTTTAGACTCCCATTGTACATATGTTGGCATGCAGGGGTGGATTATCCAATAAGCAAGGTAAGCATGGTGCTTACCTTGCTTACCAGATAATCTGTAGTGAACAATTTCACATGGGTTTCACCACATCTTTTGGAGAAACCCATGCGAAATTGTTCACTACAGATTAGTAAGTGAGCACAAATAAGCCCATGCTCACCTTACTTACTGGGCCATCTGCCCCTGTCAGGGATTGTAAATTTGAAAAGAGGCTTTGACTCTGTAGGAAGGTGCTGTGGGCTGGAAGAAAGACAGATGTCAGCCATATCTAGAAGCAGAATCTTTGATGTGGTGAAAAAATGCTTACGTGGTGTATTAGATAATCCACCGCTGTTGGTATGCACAGGTGTATGAGGCTGTGTTCATTTTTCTTCGTTTTTTTCTTCCCATTCCTCACATTGGATAAGTTCAATTGACCTGTCTTCAAGTTTATTGATTCATCTTTCTGTTGAGTCCCTCTAGTTATGGCTGTTATTGTAGTTTTCAACTCCAGAATAGTTCTCTGTTTTAAACTTATACCTCTTTATTGATACTTTCCATTAAAGGTGAGACATTTAGTTTCCTTTACTTCTTTGACCAGTACCAGTTGCCACCAAGTTGATTGTGGCTCATGGCAACTCCATGTGTGTCAGAGTAGAACTGGGCTCCATAGGGTTTTCAATGGCTCATTTTTTAAATTATTAACTTAAAGTCTCTGTCTAGTAAGTTCAGCCTCTGGGCTTCGTCAGGGACAGTTTCTGTTGATTACTTTTTTCCTGTGTATGGACAATACCCTCTTGTTTCTTCATGTCTTGTAATTCTTTGTTGGAAACTGGACATTTTAAATAACAAAGTAGCCGCTTTGGGAGATTCTCTCCTCTCCTCAGGATTCGTTGTTGTTGCTGTTTATCGTAGTTATTGTTGTTTGTTTGATGACTTTTCTGAATTATTTCTATGATGTCTGTCTGATTTGTCGCTTCAGTTAGCTTAGTGGTCAGTTGATGAATAGACAGAGATTTCCTTTAAAATCTGAAACCAGTAAGTCTCCCAGTCTTTGCCTTGCGGTTCTGCCAGGCAGTTGAGAGTTCTGCCTTAGTGCTCACTTTCTACTTGGGCAGAGCCTCAGGTCAGCCAGAGGTGGGAGCTTAGGGACTTCTCAGGTCTTTCCTGAGCATGCACACAGCCTTACACATGCACGTGGTCTTCCAGATTTCCAGGAACGTGTTGAAGTTTTTCAAACCTCTAGGAATATCTTATTCCCTAGTTTTTTTATTTAAGCTTTTTGGTTAGTCTATTGTTTGCCCCAACTGTTATCCACCACATCAGGCAGCTTCAAAGTTAAATCATTTGCCTATAATTGTTTTTGGCAACTCCTCTCAGGGGAAAAGTTTTTTCCATAAGTGGCCAAGTTCTGAATCAGATCAAATACCGACTGCCTTTCAAGGAGGATCTTCCAGGGAACCACCAGATGGGTCAAATCGTGACAGTTCTCTGTGAGTGAGGCTTTCAAAGAGCTCCAGCCCCCTCTGCATCCTCTGGTGACTGCCAGGCTACTGCCTTTTCCTGTGACTGTGGCTGGTATATTTAAAGCTAAAGAGTGGAAAATGGGAGTAGGGCTAGTTGAAACTCCACAAAGCTCACTGTTCTTCCTGAGATGCAGCTGCTTCTCTTGAATAAATGCTCCCCAGATTGCCACAAGTAATCTTTGCTTCTAGAAATTACGCCTGAAGAAGTAATTGCACCAACATGAAAATTATATATAGAAGAATGTTTATTTTCACATTGTTTTATAAAAGTAAAAATGTAGAAATTATATAAATGTCCATCAAAAAGAGACTGGCTAACAAATTAGAAGGCATAGATAGAATATAAAATGATGCAACCATCAAAAAGAATAATTTTTATCTGCATGTTCTGATATAGTCACTGTCCATCATGTATTATTAAATGAAACAGGTTAAGATGGAGAAACTATACCAGTATCATTCCATTTTTCTTTTAAAAGGTAATATCTAGAAAATATACACCAAACTGTAATGATGGATTTGAGTAATGGAGGTGTTCTTTTACTTTCTACCTCATACATGTCTCTTTTTTCCAAGGAGTGTGTGTTTATTGTATCATTTTTAATGTCTGCATCTAAATGAAAACAATTTAAATCAGATTGAAAAAGGAGAAAAGAGGCTCCTGGGTGCTTTTCACATGAGAGGTCAGTTGAGGTTGCAGGGTGATTAATGATGGATGGAAGGACCAAACATATGAATATTTTGTATTTCAGATAACACTAATATTATGGACAGTGTTTTAGGCTGGCTTCTCTAGAGGAGCAAAACGAGTGAAGCATATTTATAAATACGTAGAGAGATTTATTTCAAGGAAACAGCTCACACAGTCGTGGAAGCTGGCAAGTCCCAAATCCGTGGGTCAGGCAGCAGGCTGAAGGCTTCTCCTGACTCACGAGGTTGCAGGGGCTGACGAACCCAAAATCTGCAGATCAGGCGACAGACTGCTGGCCCACAGGGTTGTGGGAGCTGGCAAATCCAAAATCTGCAGGTCAAGTGGCAGGCTGAAAGCTTCTTACATCCCAAGAACTGGAGGTCAGCTGACAGTGAGATGAATGCAGGATTGAGAGAGAGCAAGCTTTGCTGGAACATCCATTTTATATATTAGATGCAGGACACACCCCGAAGGAAACTCCCCTTCCAACTGATTGGCTGCTCACATCAAATGACAAAATGGAGGATGATTACATCGTGTCTGCCAAACCACTGAGAATCATGGCCTTGCCAAGTTGACACCTAACATTGACCATCACAGACAGGAATATTCCTGCAGAAATCACTGTTTTCACTGCATTATTTTCATAAAACTTTGGTTATAGAAGTGAAACAAAATATTATTCATGTTTACTATATGCTGGGTTGTGGTAAATAATAATCCTTCTTCAAAATGATATTTGTTCTACTAGGAATTTGCCTACTCTGTAAAAGGTAAGGAAGAGCTTGGAAAACTACCCCGGGATGACTAACATCTGCTTGTCCCCCGTTAGCAGAGGGATATGTGGTCCAAGAGAACATTTATGCCTGGGAGTCTCTGGGGATGGGGAAGCACATGACAGCCCTGGCCATCCTGGGTCCCGTGCACATCATCCTGCTTTTCCTCATTGAGACCAGCATCTTGAAGAGGCTGAGAGCCAGGGTCTCTGGCTTCTTCAGGAAGCAAAATTTGGTGAGTAGTCAGAGCATGACCCTGCCAAGGGAGAGGTCAAGATCCCCACAGTGTCCTTCCTGTGATCTGCCCTGGCCTTGATTCTGAGCATCAGAGGGAGCCTGAGGCCATCTAGTCCAGCCTCAGGGCAGAGAGGAGACAGGCCATGCCTAGGGCCCGGGGCCTCGACAGGAGAGGAAGAAGAGTCTGGCTGAGTCCCCTGCAACCCCAGTCAGTGTGCGGGTCCCCTATCAGGCCCCTGCAACCCTAGTCAGGGTGCTGGTCCCCCGTAGGGCCCCTGTGACCCCAGTGTACCAGTTGCCCGTAGGGCCCGTGACCCCAGTCAGTGGGCCGGTCCCCTGTAGGCTCACGACCTCAGTCAGTGTGCCTTTCCCCTGTAGGGCCCTGTGACCTCAGTGTGCCTGTCCCCCGTAGGGCCCTGTGACCCCGGTCAGTCTGCCTGTCCCCCGTAGGGCCCTGTGACCCCAGTCAGTCTGCCTTTCCCCCATAGGGCACTGTGACCCCAGTCAGTCTGCCTGTCCCCCATAGGGCCCCGTGACCTCAGTCAGCCTGCCTGTCCCCCGTGGGGCCCCGTGACCCCAGTCAGTCTGCCTGTCCCCCGTGGGGCCCCGTGACCCCAGTCAGTCTGCCTGTCCCCAGTGGGGCCCCGTGACCTCAGTCAGTCTGCCTGTCCCCCGTGGGGCCCCGTGACCTCAGTCAGTCTGCCTGTCCCCCGTGGGGCCCCGTGACCTCAGTCAGTCTGCCTGTCCCCCGTGGGGCCCCGTGACCCCAGTCAGTCTGACTGTCCCCCGTGGGGCCCCGTGACCCCAGTCAGTCTGCCTGTCCCCCGTGGGGCCCCGTGACCCCAGTCAGTCTGCCTGTCCCCCGTGGGGCCCCGTGACCCCAGTCAGTCTGACTGTCCCCCGTGGGGCCCCGTGACCCCAGTCAGTCTGCCTGTTCCCCGTATGGCTTTGATGCCCTCTCGACAGCCGAGGAGCAAGCAGGACACTGGGTTGGGTTTTCTAGAACCAGCCACCTTTCTGCAACACCTCTTCCCCACAGGCATCCATAAGCCAGACAGGAAAAAGGTTTGTTCTTCTAGCTCTTGGTCTGACCGTCTTCCAGAGGCCAATGCCTCCCAAGGGTACTGTAGGAAATGGGCCCTTTCCACACCTGGGCTTTCCATGCTCACAGTCTTTCTGTTTCCCTCAGAAGCTGAGGCCACAGGAAGTTTCCCTGTCCCCCTACTGAGTTCAGCCTTGAATACAAGTAGTTGCTCTTGAGATAGGAGTGGGTGTGTATGTGTGAGAACTGAGAGTGGGTGGGGCACCTCAAAGCCTTCTCAGGGAGGACCCGCTCCCCAGGGCTCCCCTCAGTCTCTGCCTCCGACTCTCACCCAGTTACATCTTCACCCCTTGTCTTGGGAACGTAGGAAGTGGCTCACAGCCTCGCGTTAGTGCCTGAAGACCAAAACGTGACGGCGGAGAGGAAGGCTGTCCAGTTGCTGTTGGGGAATTTGCAGAAGAATCCACTGGTTGTCAAGGAAATGTCCAAGGTGAAGTCAGATGTGGCTTTCCAAGGCAAAGCCATTCTTTTTTTGGGTCCTTCCCATAAGGAAGGGCATATCGGAGAAGTCACCTTGCCAACGGGAAGGCTCCAGGCACTGCTGCAAGTCTGGAGCGTTGGCGGATGCCGGCAGGCGGGTCTGCTGGGGAGACTCCAAGCGGGGCTCCTCTGCTTGTGAGCGAATCACGTGTGAGAGCCTTTGAGAACTCAAAGACAGCAGGTAGCCCTGCTTTGTGGTCCCATCAGACCAGAGGGTCTGAGAAGGGGAGGCAGGGGGACCAGAGCACAAACCCCAAGAAGCAAGGAAGGCTGGCAGGTTAGATGTGCTGGGCCGACTCTGTCCTGGATCTAGAAGAAAATCTGTGGAAGAGCCACAGTGGGGGAAGGGGCTCGGAAGGCTCAAACCAAGCCTCCTCTGTCTCCCCCTGAGCCCAGGGAGACTTTACTGAGAGACTCTTCAGACAGCCAGGAACTTTGTGACCTTTCCCCAAGCTTGTTAGTCCTAGTCTCTGCTTCCCTGTAGTTACTGGTGGTAAAAAAAAAAAAAAAAAACAGGCAGCATCAGAAGGACTTTGCTTGTTTCAGGGACAGAAGGGAAGAGGCTCCTCTCGGAGAGCTGAGTCCTGAGCGTGCAGGGGCTAGGGACGAGAGACTGCCTGGCCAAACCCTGCTGCCCTCACAGCTGGGAGGAGGCATGCCCAGCCTGGGCAGGTGGGAGGCCCAGGGCGGGGTGCATGGAGCCCGGGCCCCCTCATGGTGTGTCCGCTGTCATGCTGAACCTCAGGTGTACTTCACGGAGGTGCCCGTGCTGGGTGTGGACAAAGTTTCCTTCACCGTTCAAGCAGAGGAATGCTTTGGCCTTCTCGGCGTTAACGGAGCTGGGAAAACGTCCATTTTCAAGATGCTGACCGGGGAGGAGCTCATCAGCTCTGGGGACGCCTTTGTCCAGGGCTTCAGCGTCAAGTCTGACCTCAGGAAGGTGGGTGCCGCTGGGGGCAGGAACAGGGGGTTATACAGGATGCTGGAGAGGAAACTAGAATGGGGCTCACTTTCTGAAATTCCATACGTAGGTTTGATCTGTGACTCCCAAACCCATAGCTCCATCCTAAACCCCTTGCCGGCTCTCCAGCCCCACTTCCGGCTGCTCACCCCACGTGGCCTCCTGGGTGTCCCCCAGGCCCTGCAACCCAGTGGGCCCACAAGAGCCACCAGCTGCCCCATGCACCCTAACCTCCCCTCCCGTGCCTCCAGGTGCAGTGAGGGGCACACGTCCCCCCACACTGTCCAAGTCAGCAGCCTCACCCATGGACCCTCAAATCTGGTCTCCGGCCCCACTCCACTGCACTCACCCGGCCAAGCCTGCTCCTCCTTTCAGCGCTGTCAGGCTGGACTTGGCTGTAGTACCTCCTAATGCCAGCCTTGCCTGCCTTCCAACCCTGTCCTTCTTTGGTTCACGGCCCTGCCTTCCCCTCTCTGCTGGCTCCTCTCTGTCACCAGCACTTCTTTCTCAGGTGCCTTGCATAGATGTTGTCCTTCACCGGGCCCGTTGGATCGTGGGGCACCCCAGGTCTGCCTCGTCAGCCCTCTTTCTTCTCATTCCACCCACTGTCCCGGACTGCGCTCCCATCACCTTCTGTTTGCTGAGGTCTCCGGAGTAGCCGGACCCGCACGGGCTTGCCTTCTCAACAGCTCTCCTCCAGCATCTCACAAACATTCCAAACCCAAGTCGCTAAAACCCAACTTCTTATCTACCTCTCCCACGCGGCCTTCTCCTTGGGGTCTCTTTCTCAATTGTTGACACCAGTTCAGTTAGGCACTTTTTAAATACCCAAACCCACTGCGTTCAGTCCATCTGACTCATAGCGACCCCATAGGGTTTCCAAGGCTGTAAATCTGTAGGGAAGCTGACTGCCACATCTTTCTCCCAAGGAGCAGTTGGTAAGTTCGAACCCCCAACTTTTGGTTAGCAGCCAAGCGCTGTAACACTGCGCCACCAGGGCTCCGTACTTTCTGAATACCTGGTGTGTACTAACCGCAGTGCTAGTTCAGGGATCCCAAGAAACAACTGTCACTTGCCAGAGCTCCTCCTCACGTGGACAGATCCCCTCCTCACACGGACAGGCAGCCTGCCGCCATGCAGCCAAGGAGCGTGGTGATGGAGGTGGAGGGAGGAACAGAGGCTCCAGGGGAAGGCAGAGAGGACACCCAGCTACAGGCGCTCATCAGAGCTGTCCTCACGGCAGAAACATGCACGCATCATACTGTTGCTGAGAAGTTTCTAAAACCTGCTCGTATGTCGTTCAGAGGGAAAGCCGAAGACACTACGGACAGAATTCCCTTATCAAGGAAACCAGGGTGATGCCTGGCGTTGCCAGCCTACTCCGCGGAAAGGTGGCCTCTCGGCTGCGCCTACCAGCAACTGTACCCCTAGCAGAGGGGCCTGGTGACTGTCAGTCATCACAAACCTACAGTCCATGAGCTGCGATTTAACTGGAACAGGCACGTGGGGGCACTCTTGTGTGCCTCCAGGAAGGGACGTGGCCCTAGAAGTAAAGGAGGTTGCTCCTCAAGGTCAGTCCATTGTGTCTTGTTTAAACGTCACTGCTTGTGAAGCCCTCTGGTCATGATCCGATGGCCAGTGAAACCGTGAGGACCGCGGACACGATCGGATCACATGTGGGGGGTAGGTCTTCACAGCAGGCCGCACAAAGACAGCGGCCGCGGGCGAGCTCTGCTGCTCCACTCAGGCCAGGTCTAGAAACAGGAATCACATATTATCACTGCATTCCCTGCACTGATAATGCTGGGAAAATAATATTTTTGTGTTTTTCAGTGGTTTGTTCAAGTATTTCCGAGATAGAATCAGCATCTTAAGCAGCCTGAACCAAGCAGTCAAGGGCAAAAATGACATGAATGGTTAATGTTGGTAAGAGGTCAGCTCAGATCAGATCGCTGAAAGGGTAACTGTTCTCACGCGTGATTCTGTTCTTTATCTGTTGAAGAAAATGTCAGTGACACATTTTCAGGCCCATATCCTAATGCTGCACAGAACATGAAGATACAGTTTCCAGAAGTTGAATACAACAAACACTACTTTAAGACATCATTTGCCACTATCTCAGAATTCAAAATGTCCTGCCCTTTAACTGATATCTAAGGCGCCCTGATGGCTCAATGATTAAGCGTTTGGCTGCTGAGAGGTTGGCCGTTCAAACCCACCAGTGGCTCTATGGGATAAAGGCCTGGCAATCTGCTCCCATAAAGATTACAGCCTAGAAAACCCCATGGGACAGTTCTGCTTTGTCACATGGGGTCGCTATGAGTCAGAAACGGACTCTGTGGCACCCAACAACAACAACAGCTGATGTTTGTCTGCTAGAACCACAGAATTTTTGCTGCCAGTCCTGACAATTTATTATTATAAATTTTTGTTTTGGTTGTTAGGTGCCATCAAGTTGGTTCCAACTCATAGCGACCCTATGTACAACAGAACAAAACACTGCCTGGTCCTGCGCCATCCTCACAATCATTGTTATGCTTCAGCCCATTCTTGCAGCCACTGTGTCAATCTGTCTCATTGAGGGTCTTCCTCTTTTTCACTGACCCTCTACTTTACCAAGCATGATGCCCTTCTCCAGTGACTGGTCCTGCCTCATAACATGTCCAAAGTACATGAGATGAAGTCTCTCCATCCTTGCTTCTACAGAGCACTCTGGCTGTACTTCTTCCAAGACAGATATGTTTGTTCTTCTGGCAGTCCATTGGATATTCAATATTCTTTGCCAACATCATAATTCAAAGGCATCAGTTCTTCTTCGGTCTTCCTTATTCATTTTCCAGCTTTCACATGCATATGAGGCAATTGAAAATACCATGGCTTGGGTTAGGTGCACCTTAGTCCTCAAAGTGACATCTTTGCTTTCTAACACTTGAAAGGGGTCTTTTGCAGCAGATTTGCCCAATGCAATATCTCTTTGATTTCTTGCCCGCTGCTCCCATGGGTGTTGATTGTGGATCCAAGTAAAATGAAATCCTTGACAACTTCAGTCTTTTCCCCGTTTATCATGATGTTGCTTATTGGACCCGTTGTGAGGATGTTTGTTTTCTTTATGTTGAGGTGTAATCCACACTGAAGGCTGTGGTCTTTGATCTTTATTAAGTAAGTGCTTCAAGTCCTCTTCACTTTCAGCAAGCAAGGTTGTGTCATTTGCATATTGCAGGTTGTTAATGAGTCTTCCTCTAATCCTGATGCCATATTCTTCTTCATATAGTCCGGTTTCCCAAATTATTTGCTCAGCATAGAGATTGAATAAATGTGGTGAAAGGATACAACGCTGACGCACACCTTTCCTAACTTTAAATCACACAGTATCCCCTTGTTCTGTTCGAATGACTGCCTCTTGGTCTATGTACAGGTTCTGCATGAGCACAATTAACTGTTCTGGAATTCCCATTCTTCACAGTGTTATCCGTAATTTATTATGATCCACACAGTCGAATGCCTTTGCACAGTCAACAAAACACAGGTAAAAATATATTTCTGGTATTCTCTGCTTTCAGCCAAGATCCATCTGACGTCAGAATGATATCCCTAGTTCCTCTTCTGTATCCAGCTTGAACTGACAGTTCCCTGTCGAAGTACTGCTGCAACTGCTTTTGAATGATCTTCAGCAAAATTTTACTTGTGTGCGCTATTAATGATATTGTTCGAGAATTTCCACATTCTCTTGGATCACCTTTCTCTGGAATGGGCATAAATATGGATCTCTTCCAGCTGGTTGGCCAGGAAGCTGTCTTCCAAATTTCTTGACATAGACGAGCGAGCACTCTAGCTCTGCATCTGTTTGTTGAAACATCTCAGTTGGTGTTCCGTCAGTTCTTGAAGCCTTGTTTTTCAACATTCCCTTCACTGCAGCCTGGACTTCTTCCTTCAGTGCCATCGGTTCCTGATCACGTGCTACCTCCTGAAATGGTTGAATGTTGACCAGTTCTTCTTGGTACAATGACTGTGTATTCCTTCCATTCGCTTTTGATGCTTCCTGCATGGTTCAATATTTTCCCTGTAGAATCCTCCAATATTGCAACTCAAGACTTGAAATTTTTTCTTCAGTTATTTCAGCTTGAGAAATGCCAAGTGTGTTCTTCCGTTTTGATGTTCTAACTACAGGTCTTTACACGTTTCATTATACTTTACTATGTTTTCTCCAGCTGCCCTTTGAAATCTTCTGTTCAGCTCCTTTACTTCATCATTTCTTCCATTTACTTTAGCTGCTTGATGTTCAAGAGCAAGTTTCAGAGTCTCTTCTGACATCCATTTTGGTCTTTTCTGTCTTTTTAATGACGTTTTTTAAAATAATTTTTTAATTTTTTCCCATACAGAAGTTTATACATACATTGTTATGTGACTCTAATTGCTCTCCCCATACTGTGACAGCACACTCCTCCTTTCCACCCGATTCCCCATGTCCATTCAACCAGCTCCTAACCCTCTCTGCCTTCCCATCTCCCCTCCGGACAGAAGCTGCCTGTTTAGTGTCTTGTATCTACTTGAGCTAAGAGGCACACTCCTCACGAGTATCACTTTATGTCCCACAGTCCAGTACAATCCCTGTCTGAAGAGTTGGCCTCAGAAACTGTTTTAGTTCTGGGCTGATAGAGAATCCAGGGGCCATGATTTCTGAGGTTCCCCCAGTCTCAGTCAGACCATTAAGTCTGGTCTTCTTACTAGAATTTGAGTTCTGCACCCCACCTTTCTCCTGCTCCATCCGGTAGTCTCTGTTGTGTTCCCTGTCAGGGCAGTCATTGGTGGTAGCCGGGCACCATCTAGTTCTTCTGGTCTCAGGCTGAGGAAGTCTTTGGTTTATGTGGCCCTTTCTGTCTCGTGGGCTAATGCTTTTCTTGTGTCTTTGGTGTTCTTCATTCTCCTTTACTCCAGGTGGTTGGGACCAATTGATGGATCTTAGATGGCCGCTTGCAAGCTTTTAAGACCCCAGATGCCACTCACCAAAGTAGGATGCAGAACATTTTCTTAATAAGCTTTGTTATGCCAATTGACCTAGATGTCACCTGAAAGCATGGTCCCCAGACCCCTACCCCTGCTACTCTGTCCCTCAAAGTGTTTGATTGTATACAGGAAACTTCTTAGCTTTGGTTTAGTCCAGTTGTGCTGACTTCCCCTGTAGTGTGTGCTGTCCTTCCCTTCACCTAAGGTAATTCTTATCTACTATCTTGTTAGTAAATAACCTTCCCCCTCCCTCCCCACTCTTGTAACCATCAAAGAATGTTCTCTTCTGTGTTTAAACCTTTTCTTGAGTTTTTATAATAGTGGTCTTATACAATATTTGTCCTTCTGTGACTGACTAAATTCACTGAGCATTAATGACCTCCAGCTTCCTCCATGTTACGTTTCACAGCTTCATCATTGTTTTTTATCATTGTATAGTATTCCATTGTGTGGATATACCATAATTTGTTTATCCATTCATCCATTGATGGGCACCTAGGTTGTTTCCATCTTTTTGCTGTTGTGAACAGTGCTGCAGTGAACATGGGTGTGCATATATCTATTCGTGTGACGGCTCTTATTTCTCTAGGATATATCCCAAGGAGCAGGATAGCTGTATCATATGGTACTTCTATTTCTAGCTTTTTAAGAAAGTGCCAAATAGATTTCCAAAGTGGTTGTACCATTTTACATTCCCACCAACAGTGTATAAGTGTTCCAGTCTCTCCACAACCTCTCCAGCATTTATTGTTTTGTGCTTTTTGGATTAGTGCTAGCTTTGTTGGGGTGAGAAGATATCTCACTGTAGTTTTGATCTGCATTTCTCTAATGGCTAATGATTGTGAGCTTTTCTTCATGTGTCTGTTAGCTGCCTGAATAGCTTCTTTGGCAAAGTGCCTGTTCATATCCTTTGCCCATTTTTAAACTGGGTTATTTGCCTTTTTGTTGTTGAGGTTTTGCAGTATCTTGTAGATTTTAGAGATTAGACGCTACTAGGATTTGTCGTAGCCAAACATTTTTTCCCAGTCTGTAGGTTGTCTTTTGACTCTTTTGGTGAAGTCTTTTGATGAGTGTGTTTGATTTTTAGGAGCTCCCAGTTATCTAGTCTCTCTTCTGGTGCTTGTGCATTGTTACTTATGGTTCGTATTGTGTTTATGCCGTATATTAGGGCTCCTAGCATTGTCCCTATTTTTTATTCCACAATCTTTATCATTTTTGATTTTATATTTAAGTCTTTGATCCATTTTGAGTTAGTTTTTGTGCATGGTGTGAGGTATGGGTCTTGTTTCAGTGGGGCAGCCTTTCTGCCTGACTGGTTCCCTCCCGGGCTGTCTGACCCTCAGGTATGGCAGCGCATTGGCTACTGCCCTCAGATTGACGCCCTGCTGGACCACATGACGGCACGGGAGACGCTGGTCATGTACGCCCGGCTCCGGGGCATCCCCGAGTGCTACATCAGGGCCTGCGTGGACCAGCTGCTGGATGAGTTACTCATGTACACGGCCGCCAACAAGCTGGTACATACTTACAGGTGAGGCTTGGGCTGCCCTCGGCCCCCCCGCCCACCTCCAGGCACAGGTAAGCTCTGGTTCTTCTCAGGGCAAGCCCGAGGGGGAGCTGCCTGGTCCATGCCACCCCATCCCCTGTGAAGGGCGGGCCGCTGGTCGGGGCTGCCCCACGCACTGCCTCCTCTTGGCCGTGGGCTGCAGACATAGCCTTAGTTTACCTGGCTGAGCACAGACAGACAGCATCAGAGGTGTTACTGTCCAGATTGGTGGAGACGGCCCTTCCTTCCTTCCTCCCGTGAGGATGTCCCATTTGGGGCGCATTTACCTTCTAGGCCCATGTGCCCCCATCCCTCTGTCTGGGGCATCAGTGTTACTGATGTTCTGCTAAGGAAGACCCCTCAAATTAGCTTCACAAAGGACGCTATATGCAGCGCCCCCTGGAGGTACGTGGTGCAGTGGCACTGGGCAGTCCAGAGAGGCCGGCCCCCAGAAGGGTCAGGTCGACTCCAGGCTCAGCTGAGGCTTCCCACCACCCCATCCTTGGCACCACACTCCTCTCTGATGGCTTCGGTTTCAAGGAAGTTGTCTTCCTCATTCAACTTCATACGGTCTTTTGAAGACTGAATGACTTAACTTTGCAGACCTTGTACATAGTGAACGCTACTTAAGTGTGTGTGTTTTAAAAAGTTAGTTAAAATAGCCCTCTGCCCTTACCCTCAGATGGAGAAGCTCCATCCCTAACATCCAGTAACCAGATGCCATCGAGTTGACTCCAACTGATGGTGACCCCATGTGTGTCCGATTAGAATTGTGCTCCAAAGGGTTTTCAGTGGCTGATTTTTCAGAAGTAGATTGCCAGGCCTTTCTTCTGAGGCACCTCTGGGCAGATCAACAACCTTGCAGTTAGCAGCCAAGTGTTAGCCATTTGTGCCACCAGGGGCCCCTCAAACATCCACAGAGACTCCTGCAGATGACTCATGGACCACGTACTCACCCAGGGGATGGTTTGTGCCCAGACTGGACAGCCCAGGTCACATTACAGCCCTCAGTGAGGGTGTTGGGCTGTGTTATTGAAAGCCACAAGGCACTTCCTGAACAGAGGTGCCCCTGTAACCAGAAGTGGGGCTGCTGGACCAGCAAGTTCACTGTCGGAGACTGACGAGCCCTCACTCTGACCTTCCCCTCTGCCCTCAGTGGTGGTAACCAGAGGAAGCTGAGCGCCATCATCGCCCTGATCGGAGACCCCGCGGTCATCTTCCTGGACGAGCCATCCACTGGCATGGACCCCGTGGCCCGGCGCCTGCTCTGGGACACGGTGGCACGGGCCCGTGAGTCCGGCAAGGCCATCGTCTTCACCTCCCACAGGTAGAGCCGGGTCTCTCGGGGCCAGTGGGGGGGCGGGCTCTGCCTCCGGGAACAGTCTGAACATGGGAATCAGGAACGGCCTGATCTGGGCGCCAGCACCTCCTGTGTGTGAAGCCTTCGGCCCCGCGGCGTGCGTCCACCCCGTCTCAGGACCGCCCACCTCTCCCCCAGCATGGAGGAGTGTGAGGCCCTGTGCACCCGGCTGGCCATCATGGTGCAGGGCCAGTTCAAGTGCCTGGGCAGCCCGCAGCACCTCAAGAGCAAGTTTGGCAGCGGCTACTCCCTGCGGGCCAAGGTCCGGGCCGACGGGCAGAAGGCAGCACTGGAGGAGTTCAAGGCCTTCGTGCACCTGACCTTCCCAGGTGTGTGCGGCCAGCCTGCTGGGTGGCGAGGGCGTCTCCCCCACCCCTGCCACCCACAGAGGGGTCTGGGCCTCGCCCCCCATCCCGGACGCCAGCACTCATGGGGACTCCGTCTCCCCTGTACCCCTGCCAAGTCCCACATCCCGGACCCCAGCACTCACGGGGACTCCGTCTCCCCTGTGCCCCTGCCGAGTCCCACATCCCGGACCCCAGCACTCACGGGGACT